AAACGCATTGACACACTGACATTCGCAGCATCCTCAGGTGGAACAAAATTACCTCAGAAAGCCTTAAGCTGCCTTACCACATGGCCACGCATTAAACTTAACTGCTAGTTTAGATTCTAAGGCGGGGGTCCCCAGGGCCCTGGCTCGGGCACAGCAACCAGTCGGGGTCATTAAAATGCTGTTGATAGGAAAGATGTCACTAAATGCAGATTTTCAAGAAAAGTGATAATTTTAGTAACTCATGAATTTTCTAACTATACTTCAACTTGATGGAACAAGTGTGGGCCCCTCCACCCCCGGCCTTTGCCCTAGTTCACAATCTACCTGCCGCTCATCTCAGACGTCAAAGCTGATGAAGTGTTAGGAGTGGAGCCACGTGAATGCATAACCTGGCCTGGTAATGTCTAACCCTTCCTTGCCTTGTGCAAGTGCATCTGTGTTTTTTTTCTTTTCTTTTTTTAAGATTTATTTATTTATGCTTAGGAGAACTGGGTGGTAGGCCATAATTGTCCATGGATGGTGATGGAAGGAGTCACCAGAGACAGTGTTGGGAGCAGAACAGGTGGATTGGCTGAAACACGCCACTGAGGAGAGCAGTGGGCGCCACAGGAGAGGTCTGCTGTGCCATGTGGGTCACATCTCTGGCTGGGGATCGAACTCGTGCTGCAGTGGCTGTGTACAGCTTCATAGTGGGATGTCTGTAACCCCTGTGCCACCAGCAAGGCCCTGTGTTCTTTCCTTATACCCACTCCCAGATAAAGATCCACCTCCAGACTTGTGGTGCAGCACATTTCGGCGTGCCTTGGAGTAGGAGAGCTGGGTCCTGCCTATGTCTATCTCCTGGTGGCCATGGGAGGATTTGGTCCCTGGAATGAACCTGGCAAGACCTGTGGGCAGAATGTTTTTGGTCCAAAGGCTCCAGTTTCCCTTCTTCCAGAGGTTGCACCCCAGCTGCTATGTGGGGCAAAATTCAGGATGCCTGGGGCCCAGGGCCCTGCATGGAGCTGCAAATCCCAACTGCCTCTGTATTGAATCTTCTCAGCTTCTCCTACCCCCCCCCAGCCCCACGCTCACCCCCAATCCAAGACAAGAAGGCTGGCAAACAAGGAGTTCCTTCTTTTTAGGAAGGAAGTCCAAAGGAATAGAGAATTTGAACGTAGAGAAAAAGTTGTATTACTGGAACGCAGTTACTATTAGCGTAGCATTTGTGTGAGAGATTACTTATTCTTGAGTTTTTTTGCTGTCTCTACCTGGCTGTTGAATAACGTAAACTGCAAAGGGCCCTTGCCTCCTGTGCTTCCATTCAGTGTAAATTTCTGACAGGACGCAATGGGCTTGCTGTGCTTGGGGTCCCGCCAACCTCTGTTCCTGGTGCCCGCACCGACATTGGAAACCACTTGGTACAGCAGGTGGCCAGGCACCTGAATGCGGGAGACAACTGCAGAAACAGGTGCAAAAGGGTTGGCGAGCGTGAGCTGGGAGCACAGCCTGCAGGAGCGAGAATGGATTGAACGATGACCTCGTATCCTCGTCGCTTCCCCGCGATGGGGAGCCGTGGGTGTGCAGGGACAAGACAGATCACATGTCTCTTTCTCTACTTCATTCTGGGCTGTGCACAAAATAACAGTGCCTGAGAATGTTATGTAAGAACTTTCTACTTTCCCGCAGAGGGTAGTCTCAGGAAAGGCAGGCGGGTTCTTAGGGCTCCAGTGGGATCCATCAGAATTTCAGAGTTCGTCACTCTTACAGCCTTAAACTACTAAACATTGATTTGTAGCCATGACCTAAGAGCGAGCTCGCTGTGATGGACGTGAGTGCATTTCAGGGGAAAGTTCAAATTCTTCCCATGTGGCAGCAGAGAAGTAGAAGCGTGTGCGGTGTGAGCGCAGTTTGGTTGCTTTGGGGGAAACCAGTAGAATTCTGTCAGTGTCCCAGCTGCGGGGTGCGGAGGCATTTTCCCACCCACGCCCAGGAAGCAGGAATTTCATTCCTTGATCCCCAAGAACATGGATGCCAATCCTGGGCTCTCAAAAATAATGTTTTGCCAATTTTTTAATGTTATCACCCCTTAGCAACCACAGGGTTGACGACCCTTTGAAGCTGTTATCTACAGCAGCACTGTTGAGGTTGACAAGGTCAAGTTCTCATAAAATACAGGCACTTGAGAAAAAACTGATAGAAGTCGTGTTGATATGTGTAATTAAAACAGAGTTCTAGAAGGCATCCGTAGCAGATAACTCCTGTTTAATGACGAGCGTGACCTCATGGTGGATGGTTTTCAGATTGCCTTCCTCAGCTCTTGGGGAGCGTCGTCCCCCTCACTTGCTGAGGCAGAAGCTCCAGCAGCCACTGAAGCCACTTAATGTGGGAGAGCTGGTCCCTGCGGGGCGTGACATGGTGAGCGCTTCGCAGCTGGCTCTGGAGCTGCATCCCTCCCTCCCTCTCCCCTCTCCCCTTCCCTGTGTCTTCCCTGCCTTCCCCTTTAACACAGAAATTAATTACGTAACCTCCTAACTTTTCACAAACTATGTGATCCTCATCTCCTTCCCTCTCCTCTGTAGGTTCTTCCCTTTGCTGTCCCTTCTCCGGAGTCTGCACAGGGAGAACAGTGATTATGGATTTCCCTCTGAGGCGTTAGGACAGAAGTCACAAAATTGACTGCATATTTTTGCTGAACAGTATTATCCCAAAACCTGGAGTAAAAAAGTATATAAAATGATCGCTGTATAGAAGAAAGGGGAGATCGGGTGGTAGATGTAGTTTTGGGTACTGGGTATCAGAGAGGAAGGAGAATGCAAAGCGAAACAGGGAAATAACTTTTAATTTATGTGAATACGCTGTCGAGGGTTATGCAGAAGACAGGGGCTGCTGATTTCTGTAGTTTCAGATCCAGACTAAGAGCTCAGGACATAGCACAGGGATTTCGGCTGCGTTTTATACTAACTGCTGGAGTGACAAGATAGGGTGAAGTCACAGTATTGGTTAGAATTTAGTTTGGTGGCCAGTGGCAGGAAGACCCAAAGTGTGGCTTAAATAAGTCAGATCATATGAAAGACCTGGAGGTGGACAGTCTCATTACAGGCGGTAATAAGAAATGCAGGTACCTCTGGGCTTCCCACTCACCCATTTCTAGTGGGGTAGGTTTTGCCTCATGGTTCAGAATAGGTGCTGCAGCTCCAGCCATCACATCTCAGCTCAGACAACCCACCAACATTGTTGTTGTACCTTGGTCAGAACTTAGTCATGTGAATACCTCTCCCTGGATGAGAGGGGGAAATTGGGTTAGGTCATTCTTTAGCTGTGTTGCAAGCTAATCTAGGGCTTTAATTTGAGAGAGAAAAGGAGACTCTCCACAACTTAAATTCAGATGCCATTCTTCAACTTGAGGTATTGGTTCATTTGGTATAAACTGCGTGACCTGTATGTTCACACACTGCTGGGGGACAGAAGGGAAGGGAGAAGGCAGATGGGCTTCTGCTCTTGGGAAGCTAAGAATTTGGCATGAGGCAAGACAGGCAATTATGCTAACAGTAAACGTGGCCTGGTTGACAGTCCACATTCTCCATCCAAGTCTTTGCAGTGAGCTGTCTTCATGCACCTGGACATAATGACGGGAGCAGGTGGTGTCAGGCAGCGCTGCCACAGTCCGCAGGCATCTTGGGCAGCCCACGGGACTGCTCTTTGATAGTCAGCTCCCCAAGCACTCCCAGTGAGTGCCCCCAAGAAGAGAGGTGTGGTCAGGGGTACGCAATAAGCCATTAGAAAGCCAGCACCCCCTGAAAGCTGCAGAGTCCTTGCAGGAGCCCCTTCAAGTCCAAAGACACACGGGCTAGGACTCCAGCTGCAAGTCTCTGCTTTCTCTTGGTGGGGAAGGAGGTGGGGCTCTCTCCTTGGGAAGATCAGAAGCTGTCATCAGGAGTGATGTTGTGGTTCCTGCTGGCTTTTGAGGCCAAGCTGCAAACTCGGGAAACACAGGACAGGGCCTTTTCCTGCTCGGTGACCTTCAGTTCACAGTCCCTGAGCCAGTTTGTGCTGGGCAGCAGGCAGGCGTCCACGTTCAGGTCACACGTGCTGGTGAGGGCTCAAAGTGAAACCCAGAGCCAGCGTGGCCACCCAGGGCTGTCCTGGCTGGCGCTGTGACCTGAGCAGTGGCTCTCAGACGGTGAGGGGAAGGCCCGGCGTGCTGCGAAAAATGAAGTTAACAAGACATACACTTCCCCGGTTCAGCAGAGACAGAAAAGCACTCTTCCTGGTTGTTTTAAAATAGCTCACTGTGGCCCTGCCTGGTGGCGCAGTGGGTTAAAGCACAGCACTAAGAAGCTAAAGCCACTTCCGCATGAGTTCCATCCCCGCCTGCCCCGGAGGTGACCACATGGTGCGGCAGACCTCTCCTGACCCGCCCGCTGCTCCCCTCAGCAGTGTACTTCGTCGATCTGCCTGTTCTGCTCCCCACTCTGTCTCTGGTGAAGGCTCTCACCACCCTGCCCCTCTGGCCTGTACCCCAGTTCTATATGCATAAATAAATAAATCTTTTAAAAACTAAATAAAAATAAAATAAAATAGCTCACTGAGCTCCTGAGCTGACTTTGCCCATGGCAAGAACTCCAGGCTGTCACCACTTAGGACCTCGCCGGGCAGCGTTGTCCTGCGGGCTCCGCCCAGTTCATGTGGCCTTCCCAGGACGGTTCTGCATTGCTGGGGCTCCCCGGGCCCAGCTTTGCACCCGGCTGCGGCATCTCCGTCCAGTCCCCGTGTCCGCAGCTGCTGCCTGGTGGGACTGACGAAAGGAGCAGCTTGGCTGCTCTGGTGCCGTCTCCCGCACGCAGGTGACATTGTCACTGCACACTCTGGGCCAGAGAGCCAAAAGGTCACAGCTCATCGTAATCATTGCCCCGACTCCCCTCCCTGGACAGGGGTTTGGCCTAAAGTGTCTTGGTGAGCAAAGCGGCCGACCCCGCTGGCCCGGCCTGGGCGGCGGGTGACCCTTGTCTCTCCTGCAGTTCTCCAAGGAGCGGCACGGGGCCGACAGGACCCCCGAGTGGCTGAAGAAGGAGCTGGAGGAGGAGCTGCTGCTGAGCAGTGAGGACCTGCGCAGCCACGCCTGGTACCACGGCCGCATCCCCCGACAGGTACCCGCCCCCGCAGGCACACACCTGGCTGTTCTCACAGCACCTGCAGGCTCGAGGCTGGGGCTACAGAGGACCCAGTCCTAGCTGAGCCAGAACCAAGGCCTGGCGAGGAGCTGGCCGTCCCCTCACGCGGGCCCTCCCCAGGGAGGCTGGGAGGAGCGGCAGCCCAGCACCCAGGCACGTTTCCACGGAAACGAAAGCGTTTTGTGGTCTCGGCAGCAGAGCAGGCCGGAGAGGGCGGAGAGCCAGCTGGAAGGACGAGGCCAGCGTGGCTCAGGTTGCTGAACTCTGGACTGGCGGCCTGCAGCCACCCCTTTGGTTCTCCGTCCTTTTTGAGGCGATGGCTTCATTTCGGGGGGCTGCCGCCAGGGCGGTGATGCCTGGAACACAGGCTCCTGTGCCCGGGGTGGGGGTGGGGGTCGTTATTCTCTCTGCGACCCTCCCTAGGCGGAGAAGGGGCTTCAGCAGGGCGTGGCCTGGCGTGTGCTGTGGGGGAACGGCCTTTGGTGACTGCTGTCCTTTTGGTGAATCGTACAGAAATTGGAAAGTCAGCTAAGGGCAGAATGGAGGTGTAGAATCTCTTATGTTTTTTCTGGTAACCTGACACCGGGCCTCTGTCGCGTGTGTGCGTGTGTGTGCGTTTGCGTGCATCATTGCCAATTACTTCTTTTAGCAGAGCAGGTGTCTCAGCACTGTCAGAGAAATAACCCATAGTCTGATTCCCCCCCCCCCTTTTTTATTTAATCTTAGTTATAGAAAATACAGAGAGTAATTAAAAAAAAAAAAGATAGAAGGAAACCAACCTCTCACCTATAATTTTCCCTCCTAGAGATAATCACTAGGTATCTACCCCGCCAGGCTTTTTGAAAAATCAGAAGTGAGATAGTGCGGCCCAAGTTGCAGCCCGCCTTCCTCCCTGACTGGCACGCTCCCGTTGTGAAATGCTCCCCTGGGCCATTCTACACCCGGCTGCCCATCACAGCACATGCCACTGTTCGCTGGACACTGACGACATTCTTGAAGATAACAGGTCCTCGGGCTCAGCTCCAGGAAATGGCATTTCTGTGTGAAAGCATTTTTAAAGCAACGATGCAGCGTTAAGTAGCCACGTCTAGTACACTGGCCTCACTCATCCAGTGCTGGCGTTTTCCGGGAAAATTGTTGAGGTTTATAAAACCAGCGCTGAGTCACCACCATTCTTCTCCTTACTGTGATCATTAAATTTGTTTCCCACTGGCCAGGGAGGAGGTCAGTTTACAGCGGGACGTGCTTCCCAGATTGGGTGCTGGGCACTGCCGTCACACTCACTCGCGCTGACACATTCCTCCTGTCCACCTGCAGCACTACCCTGCAGGTGGATTATTACCCCTGTCTACAGGTGACGTAACCAAGCCACCAAGCGATTCTAGACCTTGCCCATAGTCACACGGCAGAGCCGGGACGCAAACCTGGGCTGTCAGGCATTCTCCTTTAGCACCAGCAGCATCCCAGTTGGGCATTGCTGGTGAGCCAGCGCCTGGCACGTCTCGTGTGTGGATATATAATCCCCCAACAGCTCTGTGGGATGAGACACCCTCTGACTTGGTAGCCGGCCTCTGGAGGGGAAGCGCCAGAGCCCACATGGTGTCCAGCCTTCCCTGCATCCCACTGGGCCTGGGGAAGGCTGGTCAGGCCGCCTTCACCCCACGCTGGAGGTGGGGAGGTGGGGGTCGGGCCACCCAAGACAAATGTCCCATCCGTTTCGATCCTGCAGGTCTGCATACATAGCATCTTCTCCTGACATCCTGTAACCCCTCATGGAAGACAGCCACAAGCTCTCCTCACCTCCCTCCCCGAGTTCCCCCCTAACTTTACAACATCAGGCACACCACGCCTGCTGCTTACATGGCCTCCCTCGGGCAGACACTCTCCACTCGAAACAGAAGCTCGGTGGTGGAGGGTGACGCTCATCGGCTGTGTCCCTACTGTGAGCTCGGGGTCCACCTGGCACACAGTAGGCCGTCAGGGAAATGAACGGGGTCTCGAGAGGAGAAGCCAGCTGGGGAAGAAGAAACACAAAGTAATGTCTTCTCTTCGCCCAGACAAGTGGGGAGAAAACGCATCTTTTTTTAAATGAAGAGTGGGTGTAGGCCAGAGATATAGTGGGGGCGAGAGGATTCACCAGAGACAGAGTGGGGAGCAGAACAGGTGGCACTGCTGTAGTGCACTGCTGAGGGGAGCAGTGGGGGAGACAGGAGAGGTCTGCTGTGCCCTGTGGGTCACCGCCCTGGCCGGGGTGGCTGTGAGAGCTTCCTAGTGCCGAGACCTCACCCCTTGCACCACCAGGGAGGCCCCAGAAATGCGTCTTTTGAAAGGACGGTGAGCCTGCCTTTCCCACACCCTATTCGCCATTTGTTCCTAAGGTGTCAGAAAACCTTGTGCAGCGAGACGGCGACTTTTTGGTTCGGGACTCGCTGTCCAGCCCTGGAAACTTCGTCCTGACCTGTCAGTGGAAGAACCTCGCTCAGCACTTCAAGATCAGCCGGACGGTGCAGCGGCTCAGCGAGGCCTACAGCCGTGTGCAGTACCAGCTGGAGATGGAGAGCTTCGACTCCATCCCCGGCCTGGTGCGCTGTTACGTGGGCAGCCGCAGGCCGCTCTCCCAGCAGAGCGGGGCCGTCATCTTCCAGCCCATCAACAGGACGCTGCCCCTGCGGTGCCTGGAAGAGCGCTATGGGGCCTCCCCCGGCAGGTCCCGGGATGGCAGCCTGGCGGAGGGGAAGCCGGACGTCGCCAAGAGGCTGAGCCTCACCATGGGCGGTGCCCAGGCCCGAGAGCAGAGCTCGGCCAGGGGGAACCTCCTCAGGTGGGTCAGGGTCTCCCGGGGGGCGGGGCTGGGAGGGGCCCCTGGGTGCTGGCAGCTCCCCGGGGAACAGGGAACCATGCACGCTGGTCATGAAAACGGCAGGTGCCGTGGGACAGCTGTTACACGCGGCACGGTCAGCTCCCACCTGAGCTGATTGGGAGAGAGGCTGGGCAGGCCGGGAGAAGCTCTGAGGGGCTGGTACTGGCCCTGGGGGGGGAGGGGGGGAGGGGACATTGACCGGAGGCCAAAGGGAGAGAGTGTGGGAGTTTGTCCAAGGGACTGGCAGGGGTGATTTAGGGAGCTGACCCCACCAGATCATGGGGGCCTTAATGCCAGGCTTAGAGTCTGAGGGACTCAAGACTGGACGTGGTGCAAGGTGTCCTAAGAATAGAGCGCAGTTGGGATGGGCAGGGGGGATGAGGAGAGAGGTGCTGGGAGATGGGCTTTCCCCCAGGGCGAGGTGGTGAGGCAGAAGGGGAGAGTGAGGCCTCCAGGGGCCACATCTCAGGGACGGTCCTTGGGGAGTGTGGGAAAGGGGAGTCACAGCAGAAGGGGTGGAGTTCAGCAGATAGACAGCTGCTGTTCTAACATAAGATGTGGGCTTGCTGAGTGCCCGTGTCCAGCGAGTTTTGGGGTTCAGGAGGGGCGTTAGGCCTGACAGCTTAGATTGGGGTTTCGTGCACATGGAAAGGGGTGACTGGCTCAGCAAAAGTAGACAAGGGTTCTCAGGGGCGCCTGGGGGTATGGTCTGAACTTTGGAGGATGGGGTGGAGGGTTCAGAAAGTGTGGCGTCTGGCGGGGTCCTGCCACGCACTGTCAGTGACACACCTTCTACTTACACGTCATGCGTGCAGCGCTGAGCCCTGTGCGTGTTCTCTGCTGTGCCAGGAAAGGCCGGTGGGGATGGGGGGGGCTCCAGCAGAAGCGAAACCAGCCCCCGGCTTCTTGGAGGCACAGCTCTCCTTCCCCTGACCTCTAAGCTTGTATGCGCCAACCTGCCTGTTTATTCCACTCGCTGGTTTCCTCCCCGGACCACAAGGAAGTGGCCTAAACGATCATTTCTAGACTTGAAAAATTCAGAGGCAAAAACCAAGACTGGGCAACAGGGGCCACAGCTGTGCTGCCGGGACGCTGCGCCAGGCGCTGGCCCGCCCGGCCCCGGCCCGCCCCGGCCCCGGCCCGCCCGGCCCCACCTGCCCGGGTCCGTGCTGGTCCACCAGCTGCAAGCTGCTCACCCGCCCTGAGCATCTGAATGATGGGGCTGAGGGGTGATTCATGCACTAGCACAGTGATTCACCAGGTAAATGAGATCAGCCACGGCCCTCCAGCCAGCATGCAGTGCGCGTTGGGGAAGCATTAGTCATTATGTACCAGGCAGGGGGCTTGCAGGACGCAGGGAAGTTGCAGGGAAGGAGGCGGGAATTGAGACTTAGAAAAGCCCCCTTCCGTGTATGTAGTAAGATTGGACTTGAGGCCCTTTTTCAGATACCAGAGTGCCTTTCCTCCTGTTGCTTGTGAGAGTAGGGTTTAGCCGCTTCACTGACGAACAGCAAGTTGACTGCACAGGCATCCGGTGCCCCCCACATGGGCCGGGCAGGTCAGGCCTGCCCTCAGCGACTTGGATTTTAAACACACTTTTTAAAACAAGATTTATTTATTATTTATGTGTACAGAACTGGGGTACAGACCTGCAGGGACCGTGAGAGGATTCACCAGAGACAGAGTGGGGAGCAGAACAGGCAGATCGACTGAAATACACTGCTGAGGGGAGCAGCGGGCAGGTCAAGGTCCTGCTATGAGTGAAGCAGCTGCTGCCAGCTTGTGCCCTAACCCGTTGTGCCACCAGGGAGGGCCAGTACACTTTTTTAAGTTTATTTCATTTATTTTTCACAGCATTCTTCATTTTGTGCATTTTTTTCATCTCAGTTGAATCCCCGTGGGCTCCCCACCTATTCACCCGAGTGCCATCACCATAGTCCTGTTTGATCTTCCCGCCCCAGTTTGATCCTGTTCCCCTCTCCACCCCATAACATGTCTCTGGCTTAAAATTGCTCATTTTTACTGCATTACATTTGTTTCTCCTCCCTCCCCCCCTCCCCCACGCTGCTGCTATGAGTGAAACCATCCAGTATTTTTCCTTTTCTTCCTGGCTTATCTCGCTGAGCATGATCCCTTCCAGCTCCATCCATGTTGCTGCAAAAGGCACGTGTTTATTTATTTTTGGTTGCTGAGTAATATTCCATTGTGTATATGTGCCACATCTTTTTAATCCAGTCATGGGCATTTGGGTTGATTCCACATCTTCCCTATTGTAAGTAGAGCAGCAATAAACATGGGGGTGCAGGTGTCCTTTTGAATCAATATTTTTGTGTCCTTTGGGTAGATACCTAGGAGTGGGATTGCTGGGCCATATGGAAGCTGTGTTTCTAGCATAAATACACTTTTTCATGAGGAAAAAATAAAGACCGAGGCTGCTCTTGAAGTCTGTGACGGGGCTCGCAGGTGCCCCTCTGGCTGCCCTTTGAGAGCGCCCGGAGCCCGGAGCCTGTCACCCTTGGCACAGACAGCAGGCCCAGAAATGTCCGGACATGGGGGTGGGGCAGGCTCGTGCAGCGGGAGGCCCCTGGCCCGCCGCCCCGCCCTGCGGTGCCCCCACACCTGCCTGACGCCGGGCCCGCTGGTTGGTTGGCAGCGGGGGTGTGGGCTCCGCCAGGTAGAATTCCAGGCCAGTTCTGGGCCGTGAAGTCTGAGCGCTGCTGGCGATCTCGCTTAAATACTTCACAGCCGCCGTTGCCTTTGGAATTTGCCCTCTGTCCTGCCTTATCGCTGAAGACTTGCTGGAATTTCTCTGTTGCTGGGAGTTTGGGGATTTTTTTTGGTTTGTTTTGTCCTTTGGTGCTTGCAAAGGTAGGAGAGAACGTCTCTGTTTCTGTAACAGAAGCTTGTGGGAGGGCCATTTAAAGGGCATAAAGCACGGCCGGTGCAGCGCTCTCTCTTCAGCGAAAGAGTCTGTTGCTTGGTGCTAGTTCGAGAAATCCCCAGACTGAACTGGAAAGGGACAGAGGGAAGCAGCTGACTGTCAAGCCACCTGTCACCTTTCCCAGGTGGCTGTGGGCTGTGCCCCCCGCTGCTGGGAGCGGAGCCGGCCCTGCCCTTCCCTGGTCCTCCTGCCGGGCGGACCGGGCAGCCTCAGGGTGAAGCTGGGACTTCTTGGGGTGTTGAGATTTGCACCGAAATGGGAATTGTCCCCTGTGCCCTGTCAAGCGCGGTCAGAAGTGTGTTGTTTCAGCATGTCCTTTCTCCCGGTCTGCAAGCGATGTCAGACTCTGTTAAAAGTACACATTCCAGCTCCTCAGATTTTCCCGGGGGCGTCACAGAACCTTCCCCTTGCCCTGCACGGGGAGTGGGAGGCTCAGAGGCGGCCTGCGGGGACTGGACAGGACTGGTCACGGGTGCTGTGGGGACAGAGCCCACCGTGTCGCACTGGTCCCCGGCAGGTACTTTCTCTGAAACCCAGGCGACATTCCTTTTCTGTCGGGGTGTGTGCCAGCCCTCCCATTCTGTGCACTTTTACTAAAAAAAAAACAACAAAAACTTTCCATGACGCTACCTAAAGGTTTTACGATTTAATGACATGTTTCTGCCCCACTCATCTTTCGCTTCAGAAACAAAGACAGGAGTGGGAGCCAGCCCGCCTGCCTGGATCACATGCAGGAAAGAAGAGCCTTGTCCCTCAAAGCCCACCAGTCCGAGAGCTTCCTGCCGATCGGTAGGTAGTGGGTAGGCGTTGGGGACGTTTCGGGGAGGAGGCCGGCAGCATGGCTTTGTTTTCCTTCAGGGTTTTCCTGGCTCGATGTGGTCACCTAGAGGGGGAGACCCGGGCAGGGCCTGCGGGGTACAGGGGTCCCTGAGCTGCATGCCTTTCCTATGCTCAGTCCCACGCCTCACCCCAGCCTTCAGGGTGGGCACAGCTGAGGAAACTGAGGCACAGAGGTTAAGTCACTGGTCAAAGTCACCCGTCTGTAGGTGGTGAAGCCGAAATGTGAACAGCACGCCCAGCTTGTAACAAGGCGGCGTCACGGCAAGTGAGCTTGTCCTGTGCCCTCCCCGGGCTGGTGAGTGGCTCGTGCTGAGGCTGCCAGGAGAGCGGGGTCCTCTCTGTTACCCCACAGCCAGGAGAGCGGGGAAGGTGTGTGCGTGGGGGAACCTAGAGACAAAGCCTCTCTGTGAACCGCATACCTCTACACCTTCTTCCCTCCCCCTGTATAAAGCTTCCCCTTGGGGCCACAGGGATGGGTGACTCGGGGCCCTTCCTGTTAGGTGGCTAAAGACTTGTCTGTCTCGGGGCAAGATCAGATGACTCACTGCCCTCCGAGCACAAGGTGTTTTCCTGATCTGACTGTACCAGCTTCCTGTGACCCTAAAACAAACCGCAGGCCAGCAGTCTGCCGGCTCTGGAATCTGCAATTGCCCCCAGTAGGGTGGGGCCGCCTCAGCCTTGGAAATACTCGAGACTTGCGAGGAGAGGGCGTTTGCTTCCGAGAGAAATAGAAACCCAAGGGCAGGAGCCCAGGGCCAAATGCTGCACTGGTTTGATTTTCGAGTTCTCGAGTTTTCTGACTCTCGCTTATCTTCCGCAGGCTGCAAGCCCCCCCCTCAGTCTCCCGGAGTGGACACCAGCCCCTGCCCAAACTCGCCCGTTTTCAGGACGGGCAGTGAGCCCACGCTGAGCCCGGCAGTGGTCCGGAGGGTGTCGGGGGACACGAGGGCAGGGGAGGCACTGAGGGGCTCCGACAGTCAGCTGTGCCCCAAGCCGCCCCCCAAGCCCTGCAAGGCACCCTTCCTCAAGGTCCCCCCGTCTCCGTCCCCCTGGCTCCACTCCGAGGCCAACTACTGTGAACTCAGCCCATCCTTTACCGGGGGCTGCGACCGGGGAGCCCGGCCGCCCTTCGCCTCCCAGGACAGCTACGTGGAGCTGCTAACAGCCAAGCAGAATGGGGGGGCAACGGCTCCCCGGAACTCAGGCGTCAACTACTTGATACTTGATGACGATGATGGCCCAAGGCCTTGGGGGCCACCGGCCTCACAGGTGGACAAGGGTCAAGAGGACACAGGCAAGTTTGTGACGCCCCTCCTGGAGACGGCCTCCTCCTTCCGGCCCAATGACTTCAAGTCGAAGCTCCTGCCCCCCGAGAACAAGCCCTTGGAAACGGTGCTGCTGAAACGCGCCAAAGAGCTCTTCACCAGCAGCCCCCCCAGGGTCATCGCCCAGCACATCCTGAACATGGACTGCAAGGTCAGTGCCCAGGGAGTGGGTTTCGTTCTGGCTCCGAGCGTTTGGAAAGGGTTTCTGCCTGGCCCTGCTCCGCCTCACCCTCGCGAGCAGTATCGCAGATGCCTGGAGATAACCTGGGTACAGGTTTATTTAAGGGGTGGGACCCGCCGGTCAGGGCAACCTTTGCTCAGGCAGGAGCTTGTAAAATGCACCTGGACAGTGGGCCGCAGGCAGCTGCCTGGGGCTGTACCCCTGTACACCCCATCCCTGCTGGTGTCTCCCTGGCAGACGACTCCTGCCTGGGGCTGATTTCAGAATCCTCCCCGACCTCAGCTCTGCCAGAGCCGATAACATCCAAAGAAGAGTAGGTTAATTCGAGACAAAAATGGACCTGGGTGATTTCATTTCATTATATATGACATATCAGCACGTTACACATTTATTTGATCATCACTAAAATGGCCCTCAGGATGGATGTTTTTAAATTTGTGGAAGGCTGGGGTAGACTCTACCCCGCAGTAAGAAGAGACTGATCCGTGTTCAAGCAGCAGGTGAGGCCCGAGTGAGATTCACGGCCCTTTCCCGCCTGTAGCTCAGTATTTCCGGCTTGCTCAGTTCATCAGTTTAGTCCTAATTCAGGTTCAGGGTTTATAGGGGCTGGATTTTCCTAAATAAATGTCCTGGGTCAGTTATCACGGCAGGAATTCTCATCTCTGAGGACTCTCCTGCGAGGGCTTCAGTTAACTGAAGGTGCACAGAGGGACCTGACTCCCCACCCCACAACCCCTGTGGCATCATGAGAGGGGCCTGGGACCCCCATAACCCTTGTGGCATCATGAAAGGGGCCTGGGACCCTGTGGGCTGATGCTATCCAGGAGGTGGTATCCGAGCACCCTCTGCAGGAACCATCCACCACTGAGGCAGCCACGGAACTAGACCTCAACCTCTTCCCGCGAGAGGGCCAGGCCACCTACCCATTTTCTTGTTCTGGCCCTCTCCCTGCATTTGGATTTCCTGGGGAGACCCCACACCTGTCTGCCTTCAGATACCCCGGAACAGACACTGGCTAGACCCCGGGCAGCAAAGCAGAGACCTAGAGACGGGCCTGGCTGGACTCTGCAGGCCCAGCCCGGGGCAGGCTGCTGGTCTGCCGTCTTCCCTCCTGCGCCTGCCACCATTTCCTTATTCGCTTCCTGGAGCCACTGACTTTAGGGCTTTGCCACCAAAGCAGGCACATCCAGGATTCTAAGGGAAATAAAATAAGGGCTATTGTCATCCGCGCCAAATGCAGTGCAGCTAGACAGCCCCCTCCCCACCCCCCCCAGGCTGAGGCAGATGCCAGGCAGCATCTGGGGCCCGCGTGCTGCATCCCACCCTCAGCACCCAGCCTGGGCCACGCCCAGAAAGGCCACCAGAACAGCCGGGTGGTCCTGCAACGCCCCCTGCCCAAGGGCTCAGGCCTGGAGTGGGGTAAGGAGAGATCCCTCTGCCCTGCAGCTGAGCCTCGCCCTGGCCTCACCAAGCCTCCCTGGCCCGCCAGGACCCGGCTAGAGGTGAGGCCTAGGAGCTGAGAGCTCTCTGTGTGGGTACTGCCCACACAGCTAGCACACAGCTTCTGGGGTCTTCCCCCATCCCCAAAATGGGGGCTGGTAATTCCGACTACCCAGGTTGGTGTGAGGATTCATCATGGCTACATGGGGTCACTGCAATGGGGCGGGGACCCCCCAGAGCTAGATGATGACAAGGCTGAGGAAGCCTACCCTGTCGAGACAAGCTCTTAGGAAGTGCCCAGAAATGTTTATCCTGCTGCCCTGCCTGTGAGCTGCAGGGCCTGGTCCGGGTCCCTTGTGCTGTAAGTCAGCTGAAGTGGCCATGGGACTGCATGTTTGTTTACACTACAGGGAAGTAGACAGAGGCTTCTTCCAGCAGGGGTCACTCCGAATGTGACGCTTCTGAACACATCCCAGTGCTTAGCCCCAAATCTCGGCACATAGAGTATGCGTGGATTGGGGAATGCCCCACAGATGAGCTGGGTCTGGAGCTTCTGACAGGGCAGGGGGCTGGATAAGCAATGTGTGACCACAGGTGATGGGGTGTGCATCTGGGGTGGGCTGCCTTGCCTGGCCAAGGAGTAAATCTTTGCAGAGAGCAGGCTGGTATTCTTCCCTTCTGTGTGGTCCAAGATTCATAGCTTGTATGTTCAGATTGATGTTTGGACTTGTAAGGGCACAGTCCTTGAGAAAGATGAACCTAGCAATTGTGTTTAGCAGGGAAACTAAGGCCCACAAGTTCTACTTCTGGACAACGGATTCCCATACACTCATTTAATATATTAATATATTAATAATATCAGCTGAAGTTCTAGATGTCTCATTATTCTTTTGCCTATTTTGAAGATACCTGTTCTGTTCATGTGCCTGAAATAATTATAGTCCAGGGCAGCGTCACCAGGTCGAGGCGAGGATTGTCCATGCCTGCCCTGAGCTGGGCCTGTCTCTGCTAGGGCTGAGGCCTCAGTAGCCCAGTTTTAGAGACACACTGACGTAGTTGAGGTAGCTTGTAATAACTATAAATGGCCAACTAATTCCTGGTTCTGATAAACTCTTAATTACATGCTAGAACTGAAGTGGGGAGAGCCCATTGGGACAGAGATGTCGTTTAAGGAAAGCCTCTTAGCAGCAGTGGGTGTGCTTGAGACCTCGGTTTTCTCCATACAAGCTCTGATAGTTTCCAGACATATGGTGCATGTCCTGCATCCAGGAGAGGCCTAATTAGGGATAATAGCAGCCAGCCCTGCTGCTGAGTGAGAACGGGAATGGCAGGCCAGCAGCCCAGCATGGCTGGGTGGGGTTCTGCTCCTTTGCTTAGGGGGCCCCTCAGCCCTGCACCCACCAACCTGCTGATATCAGTGCTGCATAGGAGTTCCTCGGAGAACAAAAGCACCCTCTGGCCAGAAAGAAACCCCAACTTCGTAGACTCTCTAGAGCAATGTAGGTGTTCTCTCCCCAACCCCGGCTTTTTTATTCCAGTATGAATAGGAAAATCCTCCAAATATATAAAAACTGTTTTCAGATGCTGCTGCTCAAAAAGACACCCACACAGCTGTGCCCCGCTGTCCCGGCTCTGTGGGGCTCCTCTCCCCACGCAGGCCGGGCGTGCTTCAGTCCGACGTGTGTTGTGCTCTTGACAGGTCACCAGGATCCTTGAAGTCTCTGACGAGATGAGGAAGAACATGGGCGTGAGCTCGGGGCTGGAGCTCATTATCTTGCCCTACGGCCACCAGCTGCGCTTGGACATAATTGAAAGGTGAGTGGCACCGCTCCTCATTTCCGTCCCTTTCTGCTCTTTGCAGTGGCTCGGAAACCCCTGCCCCATTCGCATTCTGTGGCCTAGTCAGCTTTCCCGGAACTGTCCTCAAATAATTCCTGGAGGTACACAGAGACAGCCTAGAGGAAGTCAGGGAACAAAGGTGACGTTCCTGCCCCTGCTCCTATCTGGAGAGGATAGGTGGCTGCAAGGCTCGCAGCTCCTGCCAGCCAGGCCCGGTATGCCCTCTGGTTACCTAGTACCTCGGTCAGATGTGGCCCTTCTGCCTCTTTGGGTTGCTTTAGAATTAAGTGGGGCCTTGTGGGAAAGGTTGGCCAGATCAGAGTCTAAATAGTGTTTTCACTGAGGGGTAGACAAATGGGGGTCAGGGGTGAGAGCTCCCCACTGCCCTCTTCTCCTGAAAAGCTGGGCCTCTGGCTCTCCGTTGAAACACACCCAGGAATACTGGATGTTTAGAAATTATAAAGGCAGCAATAATGAAGTGGTTTTTTTTTAACAAAAGTTTATTTTTACATCATTTTGTACATTTTTTTTCATCTCAATTGTAATCCCCGCGGGTTTCCCATCACCATAATCCTGTGCATTTCCCTCCCTCCTCACACCCCCCACCCCCCGTTTTTGATCCCATTCCCCACTCCACCCCCGCAAAATGTCTCTGGTATATATGGTTGTTCATTATTTTTGTTATTTTCTCACCTGGTCCATTATACTCCTGCTATGAGTGACACCATCCGGTATTTTTCTTTCTCTTTCTGGCTTATCTCACTAAGCATGATCTTTTCCAGCTCCATCCAAGTTGCTGCAAAAGCCATGTGTTTCTCTTTTTTGGTTGCTGAGTAATATTCCATTGTATATATGTACCACATCTTTCTAATCCAGTCATCTACTTTTGGGCATTTGGGCTGCTAATGAAGCGTGTTTTTAAGGAATGTTAGATTCTCCTAATAATGTAGAAGTTCATCTTTTTCTCACGAGTGATTTGAACAAAACTATCTTGTTGTGCAGAAGGAGGGGCACCCTGGGGCTCCCCAGCCTGCCCACTCTTAAATAGATTCTGCCATCCACCGCATCAAGATAAAACTTGGTACGCAAGATCTTAAACAGAAAATGATTTTAATATAATTAGTGAACAATGAAGAGAAAGAATAGTTGAAAACAGTTTCCAGCTAAAACCCAAAGTTACTCCTCCCCTTGAGGGTAAATGTCCAGTCAGAAATGTCCAGGAAGTGTCTCCTTCCACATCCCCGGTACAAGCCCAAGGCTGAGAAGCAAGCACGGCTTTTTCGCGCGTCTCTGTCAAACATGCCTCCTCACCACATCATCTTCATTAGCTTCTCCTGCCTGCTCAGCGTGCCACCTTCTGCAATTGCCTTCCTCTGGGTACTGTCCTGTGACACCGACGGACTGCCCATGGCTTTACATGACTTGGTTGTCCACTACTACCCAGTGCTGTGTGTACTACTTTCTGTGATGGCTTAAATGTTCTTACCTCACCATGGCAGCCACTGGCTAGAAATTTCTAGTATGACTGAGTGTGGATGGCCACATGCAGCTAGTGGACAATGCAGTCCCAGGATGTCAACCCCTAGAAAGTAGAGTGTTAGATGGCCTGGGGAGGCCGGTCCAGCCATTCTCCCTGACTACATAGCAGCTCCTGGGCCCCATAAGCCATTCCACAGCCAGCAGCCCAAAGTCGAACATCAGACAGTGATCTGGACTGACTGTTGCTTCAAGGACTTGGGCAGTTATAGCTAGGGTCTGATTTCCAAATGTTCTTGTCGGGCTTTTCCAGAGTCTACTTCCCTTCTTTCATGGTCTGGGCCCAGTGGTTACTGTTTCAGTGGAGAGGAGCTGGGCTGCTGCTGTGGACTCCCCAGATCTTGTGTTCTAGAAGTTGGGTTCTGGGCTGCGGTAGGCAAGTTTGGGCATCTCTACAGACTGTTTCCTGACTTTCTCTCTTGCTTACATTTCTTTCTCCTGCTTGTTGCTCTTTACCTGGTGTCCTGCCCAAGATCAACTATTGGATCTCTTGCTAGAGCCTGAGGAGAGGTTTTCTTCATTACCAGGTTTACTAAACATAGTCATTCTGAAGTTCGGTGGTACCATCCTAGACCTGAGCGGGGAGGTCCTTCTTTATGACACTTAGTGGCTCCTGGAGCTTTGGCTGCAGACCTTCCGGTGTCTAGTTGCATATACACATTTCAGGCAAATACTGGTTGAAGAAATGGAAACTGTTACCCACTTAACTGTTGCTGTACACCAGTTCAGTTCTCAAAGTACAGAAACTGTCTTTTATTAAGGGCCATTAAACACATTGAACAAAGAACCTGTCACCTACAACATAGGTTAGTTTACTGTTAGAGACCTACAATGTTTGATTCAACCATTAACACTAAGCAAATGGGTAACAAAACTATTCCATAAGTAAGCAGATAATAAGTGTAACATTTAAGTCTATTAGAATCCATTAACACCAAAAAATAGGAAGCAGGTAAATGGAGAAGAAAAAGAAAACAGATAAAATAGCTTAAAATGTAGAGGGGGTGGGCACAGAGGCAGATGTAGAGCAGCTGCGTCTAGGGGCTTGTCAGCACCAGGCACTTAACTTTTGCACCCACAAATATAGTAGTATTCCTTGTAACAACTCTTGTTCACATTTTACAGATGAAGAAATGGAGGTGCAAGCAGGTAACAGTGAGTAAGCCCCATAAATACAGATGTGCAGAGCTCGCTAATGTAAAGCACCTCAGAACCTGGTAAGGCCGGGCACTGCTTCCCTCGGCTCATGGAGCGTGAGCGAGACCCACACACGTGGGTAGGAAGAGCAGGACCTGGAGCAGCAGCCTTAAACCGTGACCTTCCAGGGGAAGGTGGCCCTGGTGCATTGCATGTTGTATTTTAATGGCCACAGCTATGACTCAAGTTTTACCTCCTCACCTGGGCTGAAAGAAATTTAACTGAGGCAATTCAGGCACCTCCCGGTCCTGATTTACTGATGGAAGGAAAGGTCTGCAGTTTGTGCTGCCTGCATCAAGACTGCTGGGCGGCCCTGTTGACATTAGTCCCATGGTCGTGGAGAGGAGAGTGCTCTACTTCCTGTGCTGGGGCTGTAAGGTTGACGGTATAGTTCAGGATCAGAAAAAGCAGGGTTGTTGGCAAATAGAAGTTTGCGATTTTCTTAGGGTCTATCTCGCCTTACGGAAGTCATGCCTGGTCAGCTGTTCATTCTTTGTCCGTGTCTCATGCCTCTCATTCCTTCGTTTGGACAGCCATGTCATCTTCCTGGATCCAGCATATTCTCTCATTTTCCTGTTCTGTGCAGTCCCCAGTGCAAGGGGCTCTGTGGCGGTGACCTGGGGTCCCAGTGTGCATGCTTTGGGGGGGGCCTGGTGTTCTTGGACCGCTCACATAGGTGTAAGGTGCGTGTGCTTCTGAGTTGTTTCATTCAGGAGGGACCTTTCCTGGGACGCCTGGCCCCCTCAGTTCTGCACAGTTGGCCCTGTGGGGGTGCATTTGGTCTAGGTAAGATGGTCTGTGCAGCAGGTTTCAGGGCAGTAGCAAGGGGAGCGAACGCAGTTCTTCCCTGGCTGGTTTGGTTTCGTTTCCTCCTTGTCCTGTTGGCTCTTGATCTGACCACCACTGTCCTTCCCCTCAGACACCACACGATGGCCATCGGCATTGCGGTGGACATTCTGGGCTGCACGGGCACTTTGGAGGAACGGGCTGCCACCCTCGACAGGATCATCCAGGTGGCGGTGGAACTGAAAGACTCCATGGGGGACCTGTATTCCTTCTCGGCGTTCATGAAAGCTCTGGAGATGCCACAGGTAAATTCTGACTTGCATTGAGCAGTCTTGTGCTCCCCAAAGTGCTCCCTAAGCCCATCCTACCAAATCAGACTTTCAGTAAAAGCTGCTTTGATTAGGAGGCAACCAAGAGGAATGTCCTAAGTACTTGAACTGTTTTTAAAAGTGCCTAATCAGTGATAGCCCACACTTCCTTTTGGATGCACAAGTTAAGAACCACTTGGCCTGACAACTTCTCATGAAAGGGGGTGCTGCTTCCAGTGGGGTCACAGGGCTTGTGAGCAGGAGTAATGAGTGGGACACTGAGGCGTTTAGGGAGATTGAGAGTTCCTAGACTCGTAATTTGAGGGTGTGCACCCCAAGTCATCAGACTCCTGTTAAAAAAAACTTCGCCTATCTGCCATTAGTTTCTGAAATGGGCGCTTGGAGTTTATCTGCTTTGATGAGCTGTTTTTAGGATGATTGTCAAACCTGAGAATCTGTATGTGGAGTCAGAGGGCCTTGTAGAGCCAAGTTGCTTTCCCACTTCTGTTTTGCTGGGAGGGCCTAGAGTAGGCTATTAAACACCTGCAAGGGTCCCATCAAAGCCAGTGGTCATTTAGCTTGGTGGTTTCCCAGCCTCAGCTGGTCTCCGAAATCCTGGTGATGACACCCCAATGCCACTGCAAAGAGGGGCCCAATTACATGTCCTGCAAATCAGAGCATGTTAGGGACATCACTTCCCTGTGTCACAGCAGGGTTGCTTTAAAAACAAAGTGCAACAAGCACCTTCATTAGACAATTTTGGGGGTGGCGAGAGTACAATTTTATAAACCTTTAGAAATTTTTCAGGTGCAGTGGAATCTTGGTAGTATAGCATCAGATACTTTACATCTGTAATCATTCAGGTTTCAACTTTGCTTAGTCAGTTCCACTTATCAAAACTAACTTGGAGGGCTAAACCAGTAGGCCCTCCGGCTTAGAGCTTCCAAGGAAGTCATCAGGGGCAGTTCGTGGAATCATGTGGCTGTCCTGACATCAAACTCAGACTAGGGGTTTTTCCCAAAGCCCCTTACAGGCCATCGGAGGCCTCTGCTCCCCCCAGCTGTGGCCAAGGCATGCTGGGGGAGTAAGGCGCGGACTAGGACAAATGGAGAGTCACATTTCCACATCATTGTCCAAACCTACCCTTGTACCAGTCACAGATGCTGCATTTTCTTCTCAGCTGCTAGTGTTGAGAGCATCCAAAAACACGGGGCTAGAGATAAGGGCTTCTTTTGGAAAGACAGCCCTTAAGGAAGAGGAAAAAAAGGAGGCACTGAGAAGTGGGAGCATGGTGAGTAGCCCCAGGAAGAGCAACACCCAGGGAGCTCTTCTTGCAGGCCAAGGAAAGGCACCTCAGCTTCACCCCTTAGAAGCTGTGAAACCTTGGGCAAATTCGTTTTCTTACCTTTAAAGGAGGCCACAGCATCTAACACAGGCATGGCACCAACCCTTAGGGCCCTTTGCTTTGTGTAGTCACATACTTGACTTGATAGTTCTAAATAGCATTTCCCTTAGGGCAGAGGCTTGGCATCAGCTGTCCCAAAAGAGATCTGAAGGAATGAGTGCTGGTGTCACACGGCCTAGGTAATCATGTCTCAGTCCTGAGCATTTAATGCTTGACATCAGGACTAACTTGAAGGACAGTTGGTAACAATTGTAACAATTTAAAATACATGTAACTCCAGTCTAGTAGTTCTACTCAAGGAAACTTACCCTCCAGATATTTTCACACATGTGGGTGTTTGAGAAAAATGTTTAAAATTCTTATCTATAGACTTAACTCTGTTTATCCTTGAAATGGATTAGGCTGAAATTTAACAAAATCTGCAGTTCCATGTATTCAAACAGAAGATGATGTATAATATACATTTATTCAAAAAGTTGTGGGGAATTGGCTCTTTCACTACGATTCTTTCAACTACTTTGACTTTTCTTAACCAGGTGTCTCTATCACCTATTCCAAAGTATAATAATCAAAAAGGAAATTTAACAAATACCTTTCTTTCTTCCAGATCACAAGGTTAGAGAAAACGTGGACTGCTCTGCGGCACCAGTACACGCAGACTGCCATCCTGTACGAGAAGCAGCTGAAGCCCTTCAGCAAACTGCTGCGTGAGGGAAGAGGTGCGGGGCTGTGGGCACCTGAGGTGGGGGGCGGTGTTGGCTAAAACAGAATGTGGGTTACCAGTCCTCTCGTTCCATGCTTAAGAACTTTACCCCTTACTTTCAGAGTCTACCTGTGTTCCCCCTAACAATGTATCAGTTCCACTGCTGATACCTCTTGTGACATTAATGGAGCACCAGTCTGTCACTCTTGAAGTAACTGACATGTGGGAAAAAAATGAGGAAAGCTGTGAGATTGCGCTGAACCATCTGACGACAGCCCGCCAAATGGCACAGATTGCAGAGAGCTACCAGAAGAATGCAGAGAGGATCCTGGAAGGTAAGAGCAGCTTTTCTAAGCTGGTTCTGCCCCCTTCCCACAAACAGACAATATACATTAGTTGACAAGAGTATATACATACAGTTGGGAAAAGATAATCTCTTAAGGAAATGGTTCTGGAAAAGCACTAGAGAGCCACATGCAAAACTAATGGAACTTGGCCACTATATTATACCACACACAAAAGTGAACTTCAAGTGGATTAGAGATATAAATCAAATCACAAAATTCCTAGAAGAAAACACAGTACATTGCTTGACATTTATTATGGTAATTTTTTTGGGGGGGGGGATCTGACCAGACCCCAAATACAACAGAAGCAAAAAAGTTCTACAAAACAAACAAGCAATTCAATTGAAAAATAATGGATTACTTCAATAAAAATTTACTTGGGAAAAGGACTGAAAATGTGAATATAGACATTTTGCAAGGATGCCATGCAGGTAGATCATTAGAACTACCCTGTGGTCTAGTGATTCTACTCCTGGGTCATTACCTAAAGAAAGTAAAAATATACTAACCTGAAAAGATAAACACACCTCAACATTTGTTACAGCAGTATTTAAAAAGCCTGAAATAATCCTAAGTATCCACCAATCTGACTAAAAGATGTATACATGCATAGATACGTGATTGCAGATAGTGCTGTATAGACTCTACATGTGGACAGTGAGGGATACTCTAACAGTAAAAATAATGAAAGTTCTGCCATTTATGACAACATAGGTGGACCTGAGGATGTTATGCTAAAGTCAGTCAGATATACAGTATGACCTTTCTTACATGCAGAATGAAACAGAACTCACGAATACAGGAGTAGTCGCTGCTGGAAGGTAGGGAGAAGGTACCAGCCTAGTTAAAGAATAAATCAATCTCAGATGTGTAATGTACAATAGATGCTATTGTCATTATTTCACTACACATGAGAAATATTACTAAGAAGTGAGCAGCTCGTGGAAAAACTAGAATCATGTTGCTGGTAAAAATATTAAAAGGTACTACACATGTTAGTTCATTGAATTATCCACAAATATTAGCAACAGCCAGAAACCGGAAACAATCTACTGCTCACTTGGTGAACGTAGATAAACAAAATGTGGACTGTGCCTGTATCTAAGTACTACTCAGCAATAAAAACGACATTGCTAACACACAATATGGAATAATCTCAAAAACATCATCCTAAGAGAAGAAGTTAGACATTATAAAGTCCATGTTTCCACTTATGTCTTATTTCCAAATAAGACCAGTGACAATAGGTCAGCTCCTGGCTGGCATCTGGGGTAGAAGAAGGAATGACTAAAGAGCTAACTAAACTATTATAAATCAAATTGTGCAGTTAAAGCAGGTGACTCATGACATGTAAATGATACATGAATAAAGCTGTAAACAGACACAAGGTACTCATTCCTACAGCACTACATACAGCCAACAGCTCGCACATATGAATTTTACTCAAAAATGCACATTTTACTGAGTTCCTATTCCTTTGGCGGGGAAGTCAAGTTTTAGAGATAACTGAAGTTGATGTTTTGTTTTATTTTGATTAGGTTTTCAACCAGATGAAGAAATGAGCGAAATCTTCAAGACTGAATTTCAAATGCGATTGTTATGGGGCAGCAAAGGTGCACAAGTCAATCAGGCAGAGCGATACGAGAAATTCAACCAGATTCTAACTGCCCTCTCACGTAAATTGGAACCTCTGCCTGTGAAACAGGCAGAGCTTTGATCAATCTCCAGAGAACCTTAGGATACTACTTCAAGCTTCTCCGGGAAAGCTTATCATTTAAAGATGTAATAATGTGCAAATATGACAACATACAAGCTTTTTAGTATCCACAGGATATTAAACATGTAAATTGCACACAGCACACTTATTTAAGTTGTTAAAATTACTACTGATTTTTAAATGAAGATAATTTATTAAGGTAACCTGCAAAGGCTGATCAGCAAATTTAAGAGACCTAGATACCTTGGTTGCTTTCTATTAGTGAGGTATTTAACCACTTTAGTTTTTAATTCTGTCAGATAAATGTAAATTTTAAAAGCATGAAACATTTCAAAAGGTATCAGTTGTATGATACTCGTTAAATGTGTGAGAATGTAAATAGTTTATGAAAATACATCTTTTTGTGAAACAAAGGCATCCAGGCTCTTTAATATTAAACAACTGAATGGAATAGTTGTACCGTAACTCCGCTGCCTACCTCTCTTCCCGAGCCACTATGTCCTCATTTTGAGCTAACATCCATGAGAGTGGTGTGGAAAATTTAAGGTTTCTTGTTTAGGAGACCAAGTGACTAGTGATACAAGGTGAGCTGGCTCCCAAGACTGATGTTCAAACTCAAGCTGTGATGCTACTAGAAGCTGGATTGTGATCACGCTAACTCAGTCGCGTGTGCTGCACAGCCAGCACCCACGTTAGTGTGCTCTACGTACCATTTCACATATTTCAAAATAACTGATTATCTATCCCTCTAGATAAGTATGTGACGTTTTCTGTTTTAAATTGTTGTAGAAAATTTGCATCACAAGACTTCAAAATAAAACTACTGTCACTGGCCTGTTTAATACATGGAAGCAAGTTTCTGTTCCTGAACTCTGTTAACATGGCTAGAATCCCATGGCCACTCCCATTTTTTAAAATGAAAGGGCCATCACACTTATTTTTGACTTCTCATAAAAGGCATAGTTACACTAAACCCTGAATAGAATTTTAATAACAAGCATACCATTTAAAGAATAAGCAATAACAGAATGAAAGGGCAATCTCCAAGGAACAATACTCACCTGGCCACCTGACTCTCCAAAAGGAATAGCGAATTTAAATCAACTCTTCAAGAGAACTTAAAAGCATAGATGGCTCTAGAGGAAAATACCTGACATGAGCTGAGTGTCTTGGGAAGCTAAACATAAAATACCGTAAGGATCCTTAAAGGATTCCTGATAATAGGCTGGGGGGAAAGACAACCAACCAGCAAAGTGTGGTTACCAGGAAACAGACCTGTAGTTTCATGATGACTGTAAGAAGAGGGTTGCTCTCTGCAGGAAAGCATCCAGTATTCCCACTAATTAATGTATGTATGTATGTATGCACACACACACGATCATTATCCAGCACAAGTAGAAACACCACATCTTGAGTAAAATTCTGATGAAATATTTAGAACCCCAAAACCTTCAGATGCTAGAATGATCTTTTTTTGAAGCAATTATACTTTGGTGTGTGAAGAGAAAATTAATTTGAATAGGAAGTTAGTATTAAAAATGGCCAGATTTTAACAGAAACTAAGATTCTTCACAAGTATGAGACTAAAACTCAATGGGCATTAATAGAAAATTAACAACTGAAGTTTTATAATGACCTGGAAGATACATCTGAAAACAGTGTCAGGGTACAGCACATACAGGAAAGGAAGATACAAGTAATTAAGATAAAAGAACTAAAATAGAATGACCTAGTGCATGTCATCAGAGCTCCAGAAGGGAAGTGGGGAAAAAATTCACAGGTCTTGGGGCCCTCCTGGTGGTGTAATGGGTTAGGACACAGCAGAGCAAGCTAGTCGCAGCTGCTTTAATGTGAGTTTGATTCCCGGCCTTGAGGTGACCCACATGGTGCAGTAGTCCTCTCCTGTCTCACCCACTGCTCCCCACTTTGTCTCTGGTGAATCCTCTCACCACCCCTGCCTGTACCCCAGTTCTTTATGAATAAATAAATCTTTTTTAAAAATTAACAAAAAAAAAAAGGTCTTGGGTTGCTTAAGCGGAACTGGTAAGCTCACAGGTATATCAGTGTCTGCAAAGGTTAAAACAACAAAACAGTACAAATCTGGAATGTCTTATGTGACCACACTAACTCTAGTGGATCCCTTACTAAAGTCGTGATAAAGTAACAATTAGCTTTTGAGTATGTAAAATGTTAAGGGTGACTATTACAATAGTCAAAATTTCAAACTAGTGGGAGAAAACAAAAATTACATGTACCTATTACAAAATAATAGGTACAAAAATGCACAAAGAAATCCAAACTTCTCAGTAACAATAATAAATGTAAACAGATAACGTGAGAGATGGTCATCAAGATTTAAAGCAACTTTGTACTGTTGACAAGACACAGATGAAGCATTAAGACAAAAAAAAACTAAAGAAAGGTCAGGTAATTACAAAAGGGAGCAAGGAGTAATTTGTTTGCAGGCTTCTGGGGTGCTAGTATGCTTTATTTACTGACTCAGGTGTTGACTTTCTAGTATCTTAAACTATACACTTACGCATTTTTCTTAAGGATTATTTTAAAATAAGTTATTAAAACAAATAGATTGTATCTAAGAATATTTCTAACTTGAAGATATTTTAAAAACCTGAAAAACTAAGGAAAATGAGCAAAAGCACTATGTTCTAAATTTTTAAATTCTACCAGAGGCAAAAGTTTTTAAATTGACCTACAGTCTCAATTCAATCCCAGTTAAAATCCAACATGCTTTTTCAAGTTAACTTGTCAAGTTTCTCCTAAAGCTTATGGCTAGGAATAGTTTAGACCATTCTAGGAAAACAAAATGGAGCTCTGAGATGTGGGAATACATTCTACCAGATACAAACTTCATTTTTAAGCTATGGTGATGAAGAAGCTTATCATTAGAAATATGATACATGTCAGAAATAATACTGCCAGTCAGTGAGGGAAAAAATGACTTCATAAATAAATTTCTGAACAATTGCTTAAGCAAATGAAAGGAGGAGGGGAATGGTTCCTCACCTCTTATCTTGCACCAGCACAAAGAAGAACCTACATGTGAAATGTGAAAAGAAAATTGTATTTTTTAGGAGAAAACAGAATATCCTTTTCTTTGACTTAAGAATTCCTTAAACTAGGCCAAAAGAAAGGGTTAAATACAAAAAAAGGATCACTCTACCTTAAATCCTTTTCTTTCACTAAATGATATAGAATAGAAAAATGCAAAGAACTGAGCGTTATTAGCAACAAAAAAACTGACAAAGGTCGCCATGGCACACAAACCCCAGGTGGTCCCTTGTCTGTCGCCTGGAGCTCACATCCCCAGGCACATGTACCACTTGGTGTCTGTACCACCAAGTACACAGGGCTCCCCTAATGGTAGTCAAACTGAGACTAGGTCATAAAGTAACTGCACTGTCCCTCTCAAGAGCTTTCTCTTGTGAATCACTCTGGGGAAAGCAAGAAGCCAGGCAGTGAGCAACCTGATGAGGTCAACATGGCAAAGGATGCACCAGCCAACAATCGTGAAAGATCTTGGAAGTGGACTGACTCCAGCCCCAGCCAGACCTTGAGAGGACTGCAGCCCTGGCCGACACCTAGACTGCAAATTCCTGAGAAATGAGCCACAGTAAGACAGCAAGAAGGACTAACACTTTTCCAAAGAATCAACCAAAGAAAAAACCGGGCAAAAGGTAAGTCTTTCCACAGAAGTGGAACCAAACAGTAAACATGAAAAGATACTCAACTTTATCAATAACCAAGGAAAAGCAAATGAAGACTACCATGAAATGTTATTGTCCATCCACTGAAGTGATACAAATTAAAATGTTTGCCTCAAGTGTTGAACCTAAAAGTACAAAAATACTAGTCACTTAGGAAAATGTGGCATTATCTCCTAACAAAAAGTAAAAATAATCCACAGCCTAGCAGTTCCACGCCCAGGTACAGTTCAAGAAACTCTTCTATTGGTGAACATGGACAGATAGGCAGAGCAGCACTATTTATACTAGCAAAGCTCAGGAATTAGCCCAGTGCCCATCAAGAGGAAAATGAATAAACTGTATACACTCATATAACCAGAGTGCCGTACCCAGTAAAATAAACTATGAACTCTGCATGAGTAAATCAATCTTCACACACTGCTGAGTGAAAAAGCAAGTCTCAGATGATACCATGTATTTCAGACATTTAATACCTGGGAGAAACTACTATATATATGCCATATACAAAACAAGTAAATTAATATAGATTTATAAATCAAGGTACAAATCAAAAAATGTTGAATAAGCATTAATCCTTTATTCTTTAAATAAACTTTTTAAAAGTAATGAAACTTTTGTTTTGATAAAACAGCTACACTCATCATTCCCAACTCATGTCTAAACCAACCACTGACCACTAGATAGGTGTAATTTTTTGTTACAGCATCACCAGCTGAAGATCACACCCGTGATATGACGCAGAACTGCAATCCCTTATAATGACTTCCCCCCTTCCATTACTAGTCATTAATGCACTGATGCACTATCTAGCACCTGAAAAAATATAGCTGATCCCCATCTTACCTCATCAGACAGGACAGTGCCACCTGGGTGCTGGCTATGGCTCAAGAGCCAGTGGTAGGTGATCGCAGCTAGATGAGAGAAGAAACGGAAGTGGGCAGAGACTGATAATTTTGGTTGCCAGAACTGGTAGCATTTCATGTTTGTCTTATTCCACATCCAGTGTGTCCTCCATGGTGGCCCACCAGGAAACCACCGCTTATTGGTTGGCTGCTGGTCTGATACAGAATAAAGGCAGAGGGGAAAATAAGGAGAAGCAGCATACAATGCACAAGCCTCCCAGGGCTTCTGCGTGTAAGGTTATATCCCAACTTGTGGAGGTGGAGAGGATGGACGAAAGTGACACTCCTGCTTGGAGTCCAGCCATGTGAAAGAGGAGCTGGGGGAGGAGGGAGGAGAGACTAAGCTAGAGCTGTGCTATTACTTTGAGAACACACTCCTCTCCTCTCGGTTATCCCTCTCCTCACACCTAGTCAGTGCACACACCAGGCCACCCTCCAAGTTTGTCAAATAAAATGTAACTAAAACAGCTGTTTCCAAGCACCCCTGTCTCCTCATATACTCCCTTCCAATCTTCCCCAGTTGCTACCAGAGCTTAGTTGTGTCTTCTCCCTTTACGCAGGATGAAGCATTTCTTTGGAGGATGAACAGAGGAAGTCTTCCCCAGAATGGTCCAGATCCCTCTCCCACCCAAGGGCTTACGAAATCACTGAAGATTCCAATATCTGAAATAAGTAATAGTAAATGTACAGTTAGCCAACTTCAGTGTACAAACCAGCGAATGATTCCTCAGTGTACTCAGTTGGTTAAATGATTAACTACTTTTACTCCTTTTCTGAGTTACTGTTTACCAACCAGCATGGAAATATTCCAAAAATTAACATTCACTATGCTACAATGAGTGTGTAAAAGCTGAGTTATAGTCCTGTTCCTAGAGATTTTGACATAATCTTTACAGACACCAAGAACTACAGGGGCTTAACCAGGTAAAGGAAAAAATACCTATACTTATCTATAGCAGAATAGAAAAATGGTACAACTAAGAAATAACTATACATCCATTTCAAGACAACAGGAGAGGGAGTTATTAATTTTCTATTTAAGTTGATTAGTATATTTATATTTATTATGGTTCACCCCTTATTTTCCACAAGAAATATTTCTAGGGTTGAACTTCTTGATTACCAGTTCCATTTGTTGCAAGCACCCACTCTTTTTAAACAATGCTATCATCATACTACAAAACAAAGATTTCTTGTGAAATACTGAAATTATGCTAAAATAAAGACAATTACATCTATAGGATTCTACATTTGTATCTAAAGAAAAGAATGACCCTAACTCGGTGTGACTTAACGGGGCCTAGATCAATGGCTCATTCTTTTCTAAATATTGACAAAATCAGCTACCATTTCTCAGGGTTATTGCCAAAATTCTCAGAATTTATTCTCTACAATTTGTATTTGTATGTCTTATATTTTCTATAGTTTCTGAGCTACTAACAGTGGCTACACTCAGTATGAGCTCACTGAAAGAGAGTTGGTATGTTTTTAAACATACTTTCACCTAAATTCATACCTTTTTCACAAACAAAAACTACCCTTTTCAACAAGTTTTGAGATCCTTTTCCTTTTGTTAATATTATTATAAGCCTGTTATCTTCCCCTAGCAAGTAGAATTAGACTTCCCTGATCTTAGTTTAGATAGTTAAAGCCCTTTTCATTGTTTTGAGTTTTTTGTTGACATGGTTTTCCTGCTATTTTGGTGTGTGCGTCTACTTCCAAGCTTGGCATGGATGTCTAAATGTTTGTCTGAACAGTTGTAACCCCTTTGTTCAGGACCAGCCCTAAATTTTAGTCCCTTTTTAAGTTTGTAAAAGTTAGTAGTTATAGTTTCATATTTGCCTTTTTAAAGCTCAAACTTCAGGAATGAAGAACTCCTAAAAATACAGATATAAGTAATTCTAGCAAACATTCTTTCTATGCGTTGAAATACCATAAAGACACAGCTTGATCAATCTACATGGTACAGGAGTAATTCTTATGGGTGATATAAAAGCAAAATCTGTACAATACAGCTCACTAGAACAAGATCTTTAAAAAAATTCAAATTATTTTACAAACAATATAAACTCACTGTAAGGAAGCAGGTTTCCTTTTTGGAAAAAAAAAAAAAAACTGAGATAAATGGGAATTAGTATACAATTTCCAAAACTGCTTTGCAAACAAGGTTACCCAACACCCATGCTTCCACATATGGAATTACTTTGTCATTTACTTTGCATTATCTAAAATTGAACAAAACCATCATTATCTCTTTGTTCACATAGCAATAAGAGATCACACACTATACATCTTAACTGACCATGAAAAGACTGTTTTATTCCATGAAAATATTCTCAACAGAGAACACTATCTTAAACAAAGCATTTACCATTAAGAAATCAAATGTGCACAGAGTAAAAATTACCAAAAAATTAAAGATTTCTTTTGGACAATTCACATGTTCAAAATTTAAGAATGATTTAAACTGTGCAAGTACAAATGTCTTTCCTATTGTAATAACCCATATACAGGTTGCACTATTCCACATGAAGGAACTTGCCTCCTACGGAAGCAAGTCCTGGTTTTAGAAAAACAAACAGTAGCTTGAAAAGAACAGTCAGTCCTTACAAGAAAGCCTTAAGCTTTGCCCTCTGTGCCTGTGGCTGTTAGCCAGAAAAACAGAAGCACTTCAGGTTTTGTACAGAAGACGACAAACACAGCCAGATGACATTTCCTCCTCATTGCTAACCTTTAAAATAAAAATAGCACTAGATTTTAAAACTACTTTATGTAGTCTGTCAGAATTGAATAATGTCACATTATATAAATAACCCTGTAACGAGATTCAAAACCTAAACTTTATCGTTTACTAGCCTCAAAGGCAACACACTACATATCAGCTGTGTAACGGGCATACTTGATCTTATGAAGGCATTAACTTTCACACAATTGTCATTCAGCTTTAGTATAACTGGTAGTATGAGTCAAATAACACTGGGAAAAATTTATTCAAGCGGTCACACGGCAGCTAAAATATTGCTTAAAATCCAATAATACACAGACCATTTCACATTCTCTTTCTCCTCTCAAAACAGCAAAGAACCAAATGAATGAAGATTCCATGGTACAAATCCCCCCCACCCCCACCCATCTCTCCCTATTAAACACCACTAAGAAATTAGTTAAGATACAAGTCATTAACAGAATCACAAATGTGAGGCAGGACATAAGCAATAGGGGCACTAATGACAATTATATTTACAAGTATAAACATACAGAAATTTCCATTTTACAAGTAAAAGTGCACGAAGATCATTACAAAGTTTCACTAAATTTTAACTGGTTCAAACAAAAGCATTACTTGGAAACAGACTATCATTGTAATAATCAAATGAGAACCCCAAATTAGAAGACAATGGGGAGCAATAAGAGGCGGGGGACCCCATAAGATTTCCCATAAAAACACGAAGTAAAATGAACTCAAACATGTCTTTACAGTTTGATGCATAAACTTGAAGATGCACCATCAAACACAGTAGAGCTCTTAGAAGCCACCTACCAAGGCTGCACTGGCAGCTGTGGCGGCACTGCCAAGCTAAAGGAGGTCGCACTGAGCTGACACATAAAGCCCTTTGTGGGGTACTGTAGTGGTAGTGTTGGCAATCAACAGATTTAGGCACTCTAGTTTAAGGCAGCATTTGAATGGAAGCAGCTGACTTTTGACAACAGTCCTTTGTCTTGAGGTGGTGAGTATCTTCTGTGTTTATTATGCCAGGATTTCAGTGCTGATTATAGATTCTTCCCAGACTGAGGTGCTGAAGATGTATCACATTTCAAAGAGTTCTTTCAATTGGGCTGTAGGCTAGAGCAGAGATGTTTTCTTTTTCTTATCATAAATACTTCAGGTTTACAAACTACTTCTTCAAAATGCCAAAACTGGAATGTTTGGTAGTGGGGAAGTTATAGCAGCATACACAAATACTAGGATGAAAACATTAGTGCTGGAAATGTTTGACAAAGTGTTTGCACTACAAATGTAAAACAAAACAAAGGCTTTGACAGGAACAAGGGATTATAAAGACATGCCTGAAAAATCTAGCCCAGTCAGTCTACACATGCAACAGGATGTTTAAGCAAGCACAGAGGTGGCGCAGGCAGACTCTGACAAAGGGTCATGGTAAGGATTCTCACAAACAGTGGGTCTAAAAGCCAATAATGCAGAGCTGAGATGGAGACAGTTCTGTTTAGACCATCAAATGTAAAACAAATTTAATGACAGCTCTGCATTCTTTCTGATTCAGATATCAGTAAACAGAAAAAGGGTTAGCCATTGTTGGCTTTTTCTCCTTCATGTGAATAAATGTGAATGAAAAAATTAAGGATTTGTATTATAATGGTTTTTTTAAAACTGTATGGAAATGCTTATGAAGTTAGTAAAAAAATAATCATGTCTGCATGCAACTCATGCAACTTGCTTCTCTCACTCTGTTTGAGCCTGACAACTCTATACCCTCCCCCTAAAAGCAGCTGCATGTAACCTCCTTCAACATCTTGCCCATTTCCTCAGAAACCCTCTTCAGGAACCTGTAGTCCAGGAGGAAAAAGAAAAGAACAATTACTGAAGACCTTTGGTACACCAAAAGTGGTGTTCAGTTTAAGTGTCCATCCCAAGTCTCTAAAATCATTTCTTATTGTTAGTCATTGAAAACACCAGAAAAACTTGGAACAGCAAAATTAAGGACCAGTTTCTTAATTGCTTTCTCACTTTCCCATACAACTGGAACTGCACAATTTCTGATTGTATAGATTTCCAACAAATGTTCATTAAAATTAACTGGAGGGCCCTCCCTGGTGGCGCAGCGGGTTAAAGCACAGCACTAAGAAGCTTAAGCCTCTTCCGCATGAGTTCGATTCCCGCCTGCCCCGGAGGAGATCCACATGGCGTGACAGACCTCTCGCCCACTGCTCCCCTCAGCAGTGTACTTCGTCAATCTGCCTGTTCTGCTCCCCACTCTATCCCTGGTGAATACTCTCACCCTCCACATCTCTGGCCTGTACCCCAGTTCTGTATGAGTAAATAAATAAATCTTAAAAAAAAAAATTAACTGGAAAGGGCGCTTTCCTAATGACTGGTTATCCAATTAAAATGAGGAAGTACCTAAGTGGTAGCAATGTTCCTCTGCCCAGTTAAGTCACAAAAATCTATTTTTTTCCTGCTCAAATGTGCCAGTACTTCTCCATTCTAGATTTCCTTTTGCTTTATTTAGAATCTACTTCCTATGTATAAATGATTAACAGTGGCTGAAGTATTATTTCCCCAAAGACATTTTCAAGATAAAAATAAAGGCATTAATTTGGAAAGAAGCTTGTATGTTATTGAAAATTATTCGTGATCTTAAAAATACTTCCTGGTCTCAAAAGAAAGCTGCCTTAATCATTTAAAACTAGACTAGGTTGATTCTGCAGGACTTTTGACTAATCTACCACTTACACAAATTATGTATGTACTAGATACTTGTCTTCTTTAAAAAAAACAAAGTATAGGATAGGGAGGAAGATGAAATGATTACATTCTTATTTGTTCTAACTAGCCAACTATTACTTTCCTTCCTGGAAATTATAGCTGCAACTGAAACTTCTACACCAAGTCATTCCTTGGGGAGCCAGCTTTCTATAGCATTTCAGAGTAGTTTTACTTATTTGAATTCACTATAATTACTGTTTTCTGAAGTAAAATAGGTGTGGTGGGGAGGCAGCAAGAGTTTAACCTATAGATTTCTGCCCAACTGATCAAATTCTGTGATTTATAAGGCAGAAAAACACAAACCTTTCACACAGACTTAAGCAGAACATAAAGCAAAAGGCATCAATTATGCTTCACACCAACATCACTCAAATGGTAAAGCATCAAGACAACAGTTTCTGTGGTACTATTCACATCTCTAAGATCGAGCCTACACTCAGCTCACATAGTGAACAATAAATCTTAGGTGCTCTTAAGTTTTCTTGTGTTTCTCTACCCACTGAATGTGTTTTCATTTTAAGTTGTCATTCCTATTCCATACATGTCACAAAGCTGCCTGGTTAGTTTAGATGTAAGTTACTGCACCTTTACTGTTTTTCTCTAGAGTTACATCTATGTATGATGTGGGAACGTAGCCTTCTTCACCGTTCTGTCTCCGAGCTCTTGTCCACCCATCACCTTTGTCCTCCTCAATAATGTATAGGACTTCACCTTCCTTCATTGCCAGAGTGCCTTCATTATGTCCTAAATGAGAATTTTCATAGTATAAGTGTAATTCAAGCACATCAGCAATTACAAATAAAAGTTACAAATACAATACACAAAATAACATGAAATTCTATTAGATTTCAATGTACTATGAGCTCATGGATGCTTTGTTGCTCACCCAGAGCTCTTTCATATACATTATCTTATTTGAGCTGGACAAAAGCCCAGCAAGGTCGGCCTCAATATCACCTGCATAGAGCAGGTGTAAGGCAGAGGTTCACATAAATGGTTCTGAGCCACAGTGACATTTTTTTGATTTGACAGGGTGCTCCCATTTCACTATTCCAGCTCTTTGCCCAAATTTAAGTGATGCTATAAAAATTTATGGATCAGGAAAATAGTAATTGTGTGAGGCTGGGAAGAAAGAATACAGTTTAAAGAGAGAACAGAGAAAAATACGAATTCAACTCCCGCAGAAGCAGAGTGGTCACAGTCACAAAGCATAAACATCCTTCAAAACCTCAGAGCTCCTTTTCTTCCCATTCCCAAAACTGTTAGAAATAACAATTTTCACAAATGCATCTTTATTTAGCATATGCTAAATTCCTCCTTATTGCTTCAGATTCCATTACACCAGGATCTTAATGTATTTTTTTCAGAATGAGGAATAAAAACCTTAATCCATTTTAAAACAAAAACAAGAGGATCTTAAATCATTTGGCATTTGTCCAGAACTCACCTGTCTTGTTATTATTCTGCTTCTCTGTGAGTTAAGGAAAAGGATTTTTCATAGTCCAAAAGAGAGAAAGCTGACTAAAAATCTCTAAGAAGGTTACAAGAATGCCTTCCTCTGTTCACAAAATTTGTTCCTCAACTATCACCAGGAAAAAGACAGCATAGTTGCAAGCTCCCACTTTTCCAACCACCTGAAAATGTGGCTGGAAATTCAGGATATGGTGGTGGCATTTAGCTATGCCATTTGCCTATACCTATCTCTCAGTGTTAGCAAGTTGCAAGGAAGAACATAGTGTGACATCTGAATTCCTGGGTTGGACTAAATGCTTAAAGTGATTCAACTATATTAAGTACATGTAAAGTGAGTAGGATCTCTAGGGTGAATTCTGTATTACTCAAAGTTGATGATTTAAATAATAAATGATATTAAAATGTTAAAACTTTTTTTCAAGTTCACATATGAAGAAAAATCTATTTATGCTATTGCACTGGGATTGTAAATTTCTATATTATTTACCTGAGGACACTAAAATGTATGACTTGATATATGTAGAATTTCAATAATCAATTTTACCAAATAAAATATATTAAGAAAATCGTACCATCAAAAGGGTAGATGGCCTTGCAGTGTCCAATAGCAGGCAAAGGATCATCATCTTCAAATTCATCATCAAATTCATTGTGGTGACTATGCTGTTGGGGTGGCCCACGGACCTCTTGATTTGCATCATCAGTGTAACTTCCCTCAGGGCTGTAAAACAAAATTATCTCTGATCAGGTATCACAAACATGGCAACATTTTATGTTATCTATAAACTGATCTCAGGATCAATTCAGCATATCAACTATCAGTGACAGTGTTACAAAATTTATCTTTTATATGTTCTTGAACATTGTATATTTATTTTTATTTCTAAAATAAATGTATTTTTGTTGAATTTCCTGAAATTCAAAAATCCTAAGATGATAATATTCTAAGATCATAGCATGTATTCAATAAACATGTGTATAACTAGATCCAAAGATAAAATGGAAAAATATGGAGGACAGCACTTGTCTTACATAATCCCAGATTCATCACACCCTCTTTTGGCAAAAGAATCCTACTATCCCTTAAGAGATAGAACTGCCCGGGCCCATGTCCAGTTCAGAGGCTTCAAGTGGAATTGCTCGCCCCATTTCTGTAAGATCCATGTTAGCAAAACATCTGCACAGCTGGAATTTATGAGTAGACCTATAACCCAATCAGATGCAAGAAATGCAAAAGATTTCAGCTTGGGACTACTGGAGGACAAGCTCTCCTTTCCCACTGGACTTGACCCTGAGGAATAGGAGCCTGGACCTTTGGGAAATTACCATATGGAATCTTAAAATGAAGCCAACAATAGAAGGCAGAACTGTGAAAGGGCGACAAACTGAAGCCTGGGGATATAATCTGAGCTCCTAGAGATCAAGCACTCCCTGAAGTCAACTGATAAAATCCTGATTTTGTTTATGCCAGCTCAGAAAAAAAGTCACTGAAGATCAATTCCAACTAATCTTGTTAACAGGGAAGTTAGTAGCAGAAAATCTGAAAGAGCAAGTAATCTACTAAGTTTTTCTAAAATTTTTTTAAACAAGACAGAAAAGTGTTAATAATTTTGCTAAGGAGTCAAATGACTGAGTAAGATTTTAGTAAGGGAAAATCTACATGATCAGACTTAGCAGCACTTTCAGTATGCCTGAAAGCCCATGTTCTTAAATAATACAAACCAGAGAGACTACATTATTCTAACATAGGTATTACTTAATAACAAAAACCAGGTACTGGCAAAACTCAGGTCTCCCGCCTGCCTGTGACTATACAGGTGACTTTTTCTTTCTCTTTCTCCTAATAAGCCTGTCCTTTTAAAATGTAAAACAACAACAACAAAAGAACAGTGTATTTCATTGATAACAGAAAGGAAGAGAAGGAAAACTAACATTTGTCAAGCAAGTACTGTAACCAGGTATTTTAATACTAGCTCTTTTATTTATAATGTATGAAACATCCTGTATGGTGGGTATTGTAATCTCTGTCTCTTAGGAAACTGAAAAGCATTAAAAATGAACCTGTGTGGGCCCTCCCTGGTGTGCAGCGGGTTAAAGCACAGCACTAGGATGCTAAAGCCACTTCCCCGCCTGTCCTGGAGGTGACCCACATGGTGCAGCAGACCTCTCCTGACCCGCCTGCTGCTCCCCTCAGCAGTGTACTTCGTCAATCGGCCTGTTCTGCTCCCCATTCTGTCTCTGGTGAATCCTCTCACAGCCCCTGTACCTCTGACCTGTACCCCAGTTCTATATGCATAAATAAATCAATCTAAAAAAAAAATGAACCTGTAGCCCTCCCTGGTGGTGCAACAGGTTAGGACGCAGCACTACAACTAGCCACAGCCGCTTCACAGCAAGTTTCACCCCTGCCCCAGAGGTGATCCACATGGTGCAGCAGACCTCTCCTGTCTCACCCACTGCTCCCCTCAATAGTGTACTTCATTGATCTGCCTTTTCTGCTTCCTACTCTGTCTCTGGTGAATCCTTTCACTGCCCCTATACCTCTGGCCTATACCCCAGTTCTGTATGCACAAATAAATCTTAAAAATAAAATTTTTTAAATGAACTTGTGCAAATTGCATGCAATTTATTATAATACTAGATCTTTCAAATTCTTCTCTAATGTGAATACTAATTTGCTGGATTATGAGGGAAAAAACATCATGAGAGAAAAAAAATGCCACAAATAGTATGAAAACAGCAAAATGACTTTTGGAAGCTGTGGTCAAATTAAGTACACATTTTTTTCTTCATAAATTTTTGAACAATTTGGCAGCTAAATATTTCTTTAGCATAAGCTACCAAGCTCCATCTAAACCCTAAGGAAATCTTCCCAGACCTGAGGAAGTTATCCTCCCAAACTGTTAACTGTTAAGAATTTTCCATTTTCAGATGCATAACATAATGGAACTGAGTAGCAATATGAAATCTCACACTTTACCTACAGCAATTATAAAGAAATAGAAAAAAAGACAAACGGTATGATGCTTAAGACAATTACAGCAGAAATTTTAGATAAAAGACAACATTATACATATAAAGTACAAGAAAATGACCTTTCTCGTCCTTGCGTTACAAGATGATTTATGTCACTGCTATGTCTTCTGTCTCCTCTCCCACCTGTTTTGCCTTCAACTTCAGAAAGCCAGGCCTTGGGGGATAAATAAGTAAAATTGAGCTTAACAAATATTTTTAAAAGCTCATGAGATGTTCTACATTCAAAATGTACTTTAAGATTTTATGATTAGGACCCTCCTGGGTAGCACAACAGGTTGAGGCACAGCACTGCAAAGATGGCCGCAGCTGCAGCCACTGTGTGAGAATTCAATCCCCAGCCCGGGAGGTGACATATGTACATGGCGTGGCAGACTTCTCCTGTCTTGCCTGCTGCTCCCCTCAGCAGTGTACTTCTCAATCTGCCTGTTCTGCTCCCCCCACCACCACCAACTCTTATGAATCCTCTCACCACCCCTGCAACTCTGGCTTGTACCCCAGTTCTGTATGCATAAATAAATAAATCATTAAAAAAAGATTTTATGATCATATAATTCCAATTGCTAGTGAACAACTTTGTGGCTAATAGTATAAATGTAGCTTTAAACAAAAAAGAAAATCAACAAATTCTAAAGCTTATATATACTATGATATCTCACTTTTAAGTCATAAATCCAAAAATCAAATATTTGAAGATAATCCCAGCAAAAACTAATTATAATCAAGTTTATAATAATGAATTACCTTAGACAACTGCTAAATTACAAATTACCTCATTCTTGTGAATTTCCATTCTCAGGCGGTCAATGTTATTCATAGTTTCTGCTAATTTAGGTTGCAAACTCCCTGGATCCCCCATTTGTGGATTTTTCTCATACACATCTTTCATTTTGTTTAGCGCTTCTCTGAAAATAAAATCATCACAGAATTAAATAGATTTCATAAGTTACCAGATACAGAATTTCATCTAACTTGAGCGTGTAGCCTAATCTTAGAGTTGTATCTAAGTTTAGTAAAATGCTACATGATTAAAGATAATATACAGTTGGTAATGTAGAGCTGATAATGTAGTCTTTTTAAAACATTTGGAATATTAAAAAGATATTTCACATCTCATTTCTTATTCCTATATAGATACATCTCCTTTTAATCAAGGGCTGTAATATTCCACTAGTGTTCCTTATCTTAGTTCACAGCATCCTCCTCCTCCTACTCATTATGCTAGAAATAGGAATGCCATCTTTCACCTGTCCCCCTGCCCTCAAAATTAAGTCATTCATCTCCTCTTCACTTCTCTTATCACACTACAGTCAGCTCTGCCTCAATCAGCTCTCCTTCACTCTCTTACATCTGGCATTATTGACTAGCACTCCTTAAATCTCTTCCTTCTTTATCTTCTGGAAAGTACATTTTGTATTCCCTTCTCATCTCTACTGTTTTTTAACTCCTTCACTGGCTCCTCTGTGTATGTGTGATACATAGAATGACAAACATTTCTTCTTATCTCACCCTACATTCTTCCTTTATGAGGATGAACTCATTCCCTCCCCCTCCAGTTTTGAGATATAACTGGTATTATTTTAATATCACTAGCTTCATATAATTCTCAAAAATATATATCCAGCCCTAAATTCAAGATCTAATTTCCAAAATAAACTATTTCTGTGTGGATTTTTCATATTTTTCAACATACATAAAACTATTGTTTTTGACCCAAATTAACTGTTTCTTTACTGTTTCAATTAAGTCTATCATTCTTTTGAACTACAAGACTAATTTTTTCAATGCCTCTATTTTTCTCTTCTCAGACATTCAACCAAGTCAAAATGCTGACCTACTTAGCCTTTGAAATGATTTTTAAATCTAGTCTTCCTTTCTATTCCCAAGTCTTAATTCAGACCCTCTGCATCTCTTACCTGGATACTATAAAGGCAGGGCCTACCTTACTGATTTCCCTGACAATGTATTTCCTATATAATATACTCTTCACACAGTTTTCAACTATTCAACTATACTATACAACTTTCTTTACAATACAAACATAATAGTACCTCTTTCTTCCAGTGATTTTTTGATGAGTCTCTAATAACTATAGAATTATACAAGAAAAAACCCAGACTTTCCATAATTTATCCCATACATTTTCATCACTGTCACTACTATTATTATATATTCCACAAAATCTGTAGTCAACTCCCCCTAGCCTACATAAATTCCTAGACATGGCAAGAACAGTCATGTTACTGTGCTTTTATCCTTATTTTCCTTAAGTGTTTTTACTAGTCCCTTACTGCTTAATTTTCTAGTATAATCAACAACTCTACTCTCCTATCAAGGTCTAATTCCATTGCTTTGGGAACAAACAAGGTAGTATTCGGATATCAAGTATGACATTTACCATCTAATCTTAGACAAATCATTTGACAGTTTCTTCATCTATAATGTAGGAATAGAACCGCAGAGATACTAAGGAAATCAATGATATTATGTGAAATGTCAAACTTCATACCTGATACAAAAATGACCCCTCAATAAATATTAGTTTGCTACCCTCCCTCTTCTACCAATTCATCTCCAGTGAAGTTTTTCTTTATCCCTGTAAGAACTCATTATTTTCTCCTCTAGGTTCCATATAATCTTATTTGTGTATCTGCTAGAAGCTATAATGCAACTTGTGTAGAAACTGAGTCGTACTTTCCCCCAAGTTCAATGTATACCTTTGTTTTATTCCATTTCATCATCAATATATAGTCCTGATATACTCATATATGGTAAGCCCTACATATGAGGGGTCTTTCATAATTTTTCCAGAGGTTACTTACATGTCCATCAAATAAATATTTTAATGTTGAGAAGTTATACTAGGGCATCCCTGACAGCCTATGGATATAAATCTCAGCATTATCAATACATAGGGCAGCAAACCTCTCCTGTCCGGCCTGCTGCTCCTTTCAGCAGTTTATTTCAGTAAATCCACCTGTTCTACTCCTCTGCTCTTTATCTTATGGATCCTCTACCCCTCCTTCTTCTGACCCAAACCCCACTTCTTCTACACAACAAATAAAAATTATACTAATACAGTTGATTCTCAATGTTTGCTGATTTCATTTCTATGAACTGCCTACTCATTAAAATTATTTATAACCTCAAAATGAGTACTTATGGCACCTATAGACATGGGCAGTGGTAAAAAAAAATCAGTCTTCTAATGTATAAAAGTGCTTTCTCAGCTAAGGTCAAATGAGAGGCTCTAACATCTCTAAAACTTTCAACAAATATCCTTTTCATAATCTGTTTACTGCCATGTTTTCTTTTTTACTTTTTCTTTGTATGTCTCTTCTTTGATAGTGCTAAACCACTGTCTAGTGCTCTAAGCTCACAAAGGCTGTGAGATGCCTTACAGAAAATACATGTGTTATGTAAGTTTTGTTCAGACATGAGTTATAGTGCTATTGGCCCTTAGTTCAGGTTTATAATTCAACTATATTAAATATTATGTACCTTTAAACAGAAACACACATAAAACAAAATTACGCGCTGACTGATGAAAGTTTTGTGACCGGAGCCTAAAGTGGAGCCCAGCCCTGTGTTTACCATTTCAATATATGCTAATTCAGTGTTCACAGTGACTTTACAAGATATAATTAACAAATTAGTAACAATCAACTATATGAAATATTTCATGTACGACTGAGCACCCCATCCCATTTGATGCACAAATCTTACTATCAAAACTTTCATCATGTATGCCAGTTTTAAGCTCCAACTTCACATTCAGTATAAAAGTAGATAGCAAGTCATCAAACCATTGTAATAACTTCATCATAACTATGTCCATTAAAACGAAGACGAACTTAAGGAAACTTTGTAAAATTGAGGGAAAAAAATTAAAACTGAGTGAGTGAATCTCAAGTTTTAAATAATCAAGCACTGTTTGGCAACATATTTTGCTAACAAAATTATAGCCTCCAATTTCTATTACACTTCATTTATAAACCAAAGTAAAATAAAAATTTTAAGAGACGGTTAGGGTTGGTAAAACTACTCTTGCTAATGAAATCAAACTATTTTGAAAATTCATGGAAGGCAAAAAAAAATTAAACTGTTAGCATCCAATAAGCTGCAACCTAAAAATCACTCTCACATTTCATTTTTACCATGACACCACAACTGTAAAATCCAAGTTCAGAAGTGTATTTTTCATGCAAAAGATGTTTCAATTAGGATCTATTTATGATCTATAAGTCTTTTTATACAATATATTTAAGTACACAATTCAAAGCAGACCCTAGTAGGAATAAAAGTAGAGAGGACTTAATGTAAAAATACTTTTGGTCTGATTCTTTTTGTAGCTCTCTGTTAAGTTCATCAATACGTTGCTGTAGTTTTTTACGTCTCTGTTCTGGTGGTAGATGACTGAAATCTTCCAGTGCTGGGCCCTGAAAAGAGAATCTAAATCATTAAAAAAAATCACTTTCTGGATATTTTATTTTTAAAATATACCCATTATAAAGTATTATATCAAACTTCAGTCTAATTTAAAATTAGCCCCAAACACCCCTTTTTAAAAAAAAGCAACCTACATAAATATCTATATGTTAATTAAAATGATTATATAGACAAGTTCAAATTCCAGTTAGGGTATAAAATCATGAAATAAAATAGGTAAAAATATCAGCAAATACAGGTAATTGGTGATGACCAGTATCAACATTATGTTCAGATGTTCTCAGAGTTTTAAAAATACACATGAATCTTCTTACAGCAACAACAACAAAATGGAAACACGTAACATTTCTCATCTATGCAAATTACTATTTTATATATATAACATACTAACACATGTCCAAATCAAACCATTGCCATGACAGATTATAAATGTTCAGACTGAAAATATGAGTTTATATACGCAACTTACCTCAAAAAGACAAGATAATTAATGAAATGTATTTTAAAAGTGCATAAAAGTCTTTGATTATATTTATTAGAACATTTCATGTTTTGGAAAACCACTACTTAGTCCTTAAAAATCAAAAGGTAGAACTATCCACTGAGTGAAATCTAAGTAGAAATTATATTCCAATAAGGGGTCTATTGTCAATTATTCTTTTGCACAACCAAATAATATACCTCAGTTGTTCCTGAAAGAAAGCTATAATCCAAACAAAGATATAATCTTTAATACTGATGCTTGATATTTGAAAAAAAGTAATGTTTTGATATTCAAGAAACATCATTTTAAAAAATGTAAGTCTCTGAACTAAAAACTTTCTCCTCGCAAATGTGAAATCACATCACATGACTTGATATTAGAAATTATACAACAGAATCAATACTAGCAACTACTGATTCCATTTAATATAAACCCATATTTACATAAGTAACCCATATTTACATGTTTTTATAAAACCCCAAAATTGATACCTATCATTCTTTAATTTTAAAAATGGTGATTTTAAGAATAAGTACGTCTGATTTTGAACTTGTTTTCTGAAATGCTTATAGGCTACTGTAAGGCTTGTAACACTGGCTACTATGCTTGTAACACTGACTAAATATTTTGACTTCACCATCAGTAAGAATGATTCCCCACTTTTTAAAAGAAGTGAGGAAAAACCTATTCAGGATGTTATGATAAAATATAACATTCAATTAATACAATCCCCAAATAAATAAATCCCAAAAGGCCTGTATATTATGCACATTCAACAAATCTGGCTTTTAAAAAAGGCAAGGTATTTTTCCTAAGTGACTTTTGTTTTTTTTTAATCTACTAGTCACCAGAATTAAAAATCACTTCGAAAAAAAACCAAATCTGACCTAAAATAAATAAATGAGGTGCCTTTAAACTTATTGGTCAATACAACTGTCAAATTCAATTTAATTTGGGGTACAGGTTTTAAGTTATATATGTAGCCAAAGATAAAACTTTCTAATTTAGATTTTTTAAAACACTTCCTAAGTTTTTTAAGACTTAGTGAAGAAATGCATTTTAATGTGGGTTTTGGTGGTATTATAATAACTTACAAGCACGTATAGGTAAATCTGCCAGGTAATTCACTTGTTCCTAATCAAACCTTTTCCTTAAATCTATTAACAATAAGTACCTAGGCACTTACATTTCTAATGTATCAATAGGCATAAAGCCCATTCTTTCATAGACTATGAGAACTAAAGTCAATATATTTCCATGAATATAAAGAGAACATCTGAGGAATTTCACAACCTCTTCTACTACAAAGGTAGTTTATGAAAGGCCAGACTACAGAAATATTCCATTCTCCAAACATGAGAATCTATACAAACATACAATAATTTTTGGGTTGGGTCTTCACAATGTAATCTATTATTTGAAATAAATGTATAAAGGAACACCACACACACACACACACACACACACACAATATTAAGGTTACATGTTTGTGCTTTCACTTTGTTCACCAGCACAAAAGCAAGCACTGACTCATTAATGAAACTTGTAGGAATTTTTTTTTTTTGGAAATTTAATGACTCTTATGATAAACTACAAGTCAAATTTAACTGCTCTTTTTATTTAAAGAGTGTGAAGAGAATTCATTTTTGTTAAATTTTCCTTCTGTAAAAACATGGACTTTTGTTCTCCCATGTAATTTTTTAAATAATTTTAACTACAGTTTTATTCTCTAATAATGACAAGGACTCTACCCAGTAACATTTAAGAACTTAATAAGTTGATTAGAATTAACCACATTATTTTCAAAATTTGACATCAAGAGGTACTGGCGTATGTTAGACTATGGATTAAATTATAAAAGGAAATGACACATACAAGGTGAAAATGTGGAGATGTACCTATTTGTATTGAAATAAACAAACAATTTTTTGAGATTATTCAATGTTGGCACAGTAGATATAGATCAGCACATAAGGCTTACCATCTTCACCGACCACTGAATTGTTCAATGGAAAACAGAAAGAAATGGTAAATTATTCACATGAAACCATAATATAGAAGATGCAACAACCTATACCTTTCTATAATTTTAAAATCATGTACATTTCACAACCAAAACAATTATGCCAGGAAAACAATTTTAAGCACATTATTTGAAAAAGTAAATAACTTGCAAAAAAAACACTGATGATAATGGGCAGATATTTTCTACATGCAACTAAAACGCAAAAGTAAATAGCAATCATTCTATTAGTTATTATATTTTTCTTTCATACATGGGGATTTTTACATAAGTGGATTGCACTTATATAACTCTTCATTCTCAAAACACGAATATTTGAATTGCTGAATATAAAAGATCTTATTTCAGCCATTTAAAAAGAAATCTTATTTCTTAAAATGCAACACTTTCCAATCCATTAAGCAAAACATCATTACTTGAATATTATAATTCAAAAACTGTTTTGGATTTAAATAGATTATGTGTTGGTGAAGATAAATTTCTACTTTAAAGTGGCATTTAAAAATTACATATTAAAAACATTTTATAATCAAAATATATGAATCATAAGATTCAAGTTACCCAAATATTTTTCTCTAGTAAATACAAATACATAATTTAATTTTACTTTGAAGACACAGCCTCTCCTTTTTAGTTTTCTGAAATTCATGTGTTCTAAAAGCAAGACTAAAAACATCCCAATTTTTAGAAAATTGGTTAAAGTTTATTCTTTCTGAAAATAAGAAAAGGCCAGAGTGTTCTCATACAGCTTATATCCTGTTTACATACATATAAGTGTGTGTGTATGGAATTCTGTAACTGGCTTTGCATCTAGCATCCCAACTAAACACACATGTACACACACTCAGCACACACACTTCTGACCCAGAATAGTTTTTACAATATGAATCTTTACACTTAATTACATTTGATTAGCTGCCTCAAATTTTTATTTTTCCTTGTTTTCTAAATCATGTTTTAGACCCAGGGAATTATCAGATTGGATTTCACAGAGCAAATATGAATTTTAATAAGTAGCTAACAAAAATATCTACCCCTTATCTCTGATGAATTAGCCATATATAATAATGGTTATGATAAGAGAAGATGACATTTGCTATCCATTGTATTTTCAAATATGCTTAACATTCTTTAGACTGTCAGTAGTTTCAGAGAATAAAAATCGTAACTTATTTTGCTATGACAAAATTCACTGTGAGGAGATGAAAAAGGCTAGATTTTTAAATGGCATTCATGGTCTCTATAAATGTTACTAAAAAAAAATTATATCTAGGGTAAGAAATAAAAAGTATTTCAATTTAACTTTTATGACAGTTTTCACCAGCTAAAGTTCTAAGTAATGCAAATTATTTTTCCAGTTTCTGATATGATAGGTTTTAGAGAAAACATTAAGATAATTACAACTGAAGTACCAAATATTTCACTTTTTTGGCTAACCTAGTTTTTGTATTAATGAGAAGATAAATTTATGGTTCATTATCCTTTAATTTGGAGGTATAAAAAATTTCTTTTTAAAAAATAATATTCTGTTTTAAGTTATTCATGCACAATACAAAACTTACCCTCATATGCAATTATTATTATCTATAAATAGTAAATTTCATATACCCACTTAATAAATACACAAAGGATCTAAAAAAGGAAACCAAACATTTGAAATTAAATGTACTTCATTTAAAAACTAGAAAAATCTCTGAAAACTCTACAGAGAAAAGCTTACAAAAATGACTCTAAAAGTCTATAAGCTCATGAGTCATTTAGAAAGAAAACATGGACTTGTTATTGCCAATAAATCTACCTTTTAAAAAACAAGACAAGGAAACCCCTGTAAATTCAAAGTAATTACAGAGTAAAAAATCACTGCTTTGTATATTACGTAGTTTTGATTTGGTGTGCACCAACTATTCATGAATGGTTAGATCTTGACATCATAGAAAGAAATTTCTCATCCCTTAGAAAAAAGGTCTACTGGTACCACTGTCAAATACAAAAACACTGGTCTAATACAACATTTCTCATATCCTCAAAGACTGTGAAAAAGACTTTGAAATACCCTAGGTTTCCTTTAAAAAAAATTTAAGCCAAAAGGCAGTTATTTTAGGGAAAATTATATAAGCAATGATTGCTTAAAACAAGTTTCTGATTTAAAATAGTTTAGCTGATCAATTAAAGAAATCTTAGCACTTAATTATATATATATAAATCAATCTAAAAACAAACTTCTCTTATACCATCTTATTTTTTTCGGTTTTCCAATACTGAAAAATATTCTTAAGTGGAAGGAAAACATTTCAGTGGGTTAATTTTGAAATAGTACCTAGTAAACTACCAAATATCAAATGAAACAAAGAATTTTCTCAACACCAAACTTATGATAAACTTTCCTTTTCTTGTTCTATTCCCCCTGTCCTCTAACTGGTTTGCCTGTCATATTTCCTATCTGCACACTGCTGCTTTTGCATTACAATAAAAAAAGCTGGAGAATTCTGGCCTTCCAGACCTACGGCCCTAAAAAACAATGTATTGGTTATTTTAAAACTAAAACACTATGTGGAAATAAGACAAATAATAACCAAGCAGATAATTGTTAAGTCCTACCTATAAATTCATTCAGTAATAATGTTGTCACATATTTACACTTTCTCCGGGGTTGACAGTTAAAACTGCCTGAACACTTTTCACACAATTACATTTATTGCATATTTCTGTGACTATAGTATATCAAAAGTATTCAAACTAGACTTGACATACCCTATATGGAGGATACATAAACAAGTACAAATTTGTGATTCCTCATGATTTATGCAACATAATATTGAATATATTCTAAATCAAAACGCTATAAATTAATTGTACCTTCATAACTAGGCAACAGAAATCCCAAATATGAGCCATCCCTGGTGGCACAACAGGTTAATTAAAAGCACAGCATTTCGAAGCTGGCCGCAACTGCTTCAGCACAACTTCACTGCCTGCCAGGAGGTGACCCACATGGTGCAGCAGACCTCTCGTGACTCACCCGCTGCTCCCCTCAACAGTGCACTTCATCAGTCTGCCTTTTTTGCTCCCCACTCTGTCTTTGGTGACACTGCCCCTGAACTTGTACTCCAGTTCTTGTATGCATAAATGTCTCTTTTTAAAAAAAAAAAAAAAAAGAAATCCCAAATGTGATTTTTTACAGGCTCTTGAAAGAGATTACAGGTTCCTGTAATGCCTGTAGGCATAATATAGACTCGTTCATAAAAACTTTTCTAAATGTCATTAATTAATAATTATTATTTACATAATCAGGTATGACAGGTAGCAAAGACATTCTTTTCATTATTGGCAAAGACGAAGTCCAAAAAAAGGACATGATAAGAACATCTCTGCTGCATTTCTGACATCTATTAAGTTTGTCTTCATGGAAATGTAGGTAATAATTTCATTCTGTCATAAAAATTAATATCTTGGCTACAAAAGAAACCTAACTGAAATAATTTGAAGATAGAAAATCCTACAAAAAGCTAAAAAGGCAAGGTTAAACAGAAGAAAAGAAATGAGAAAGGAAGAGGCTATGTAGAGAAAAGGGGAAAGAAAAAGAGCAAAAGCAAGTCTAACAGGGTCTTACGGTAATTATTAGACTTATAACTCTGAGAGATTCTGAATTCTCATCTATGGATTATTACAACTGTTTTTTATACATCCAAACAAATGCTGGAATAAATACCTCATAAATGTAAAGCTATGAATGTGATAAAAATGTCCTTTAAAATGAAACATAGAGAGAAATTAGCCTAACATAATGGAATACTATATTTGTCAGTAGTAATAACAATCGTTAAAACAGGTTAACATTTGCTTTTTAACCAGTCTATAATTTTTCATTTGCAGAGTATCTTTAGTTTTAAGAAAACACCAATTGTTGGCCAATTTCTTTGAAAAGGAAACTTTAGTAGCAAATTTTTGGTCAAGAAAACAAATTCAGTGCAAATATCACTCAACAGTATCTAGTTTATGTTCTTTATGATTTACAAAATATCTATTCCTTTAATTTGTTCTATAATCTTGATTTTTTTAACATTCCTATCATTTTTTATTAATTATTGGAAACTGTGTCTTATGTTTCTAAAAGTAGGGCAATTAAGGTTGCACATGATTTTTTTCCTCAATACTTTATAAACTGGTAGAAGTCATTAGTGACAAATTATTACATGAGTAACTGCAGAGACAAATTACTGAAAGTCTTAAAAATGTAAATACATTACAAGACAATGGTGAACATATGATTTCACATAAACAAAAAAAAATAGCTAATATGCTTGTACCCAGCACCCTCTTTATAATACCATTTCTTTTATGGTTGAGTATTTCAAATATGCTATATAGGAGTTATTTTTAACTTGTGGGCAGCTATTCTTAATTCTGTGGTGTTTTTAAAACTACGTATTTATAGGAGAGAGCCTTATAATGAGGGTGGAGAGTATTAAAAGCCACACTACACACACAATAGGCCATCATGCACTTTAACCCATTATTAAACTTACCCCTCTTTTGAGGCTTCTGAAAGAAGGAATTCTGGGCTTCCCTGTTTTTATTTCATTCATACAATAATGCACGGGCTCAATGGAGAATGTGAGAAACTGGGACCCATTAGGAGTACTGGATGTGAATAAACTAGTAGGGGTTAAGGGTGGGGACTGTGGCTAATATGGAAATAAAGAAAGGAATCAATAAGCCAAATGTGCATAGTTTTTTCCTAAATGAAAATTCTATTTTTGGCAATATACTTTTCACAAAATATATGTCAAGGTTTTCAATAAAAATATTAAAAAGCTAACATAACTTTGCCAAAACTGTCATAAGTGAATTTTACCTTTAAATATGTACCATTTCATTTGATTTTTCTACAAGCTGACAGATTAAAAACATAGAGCACACAAATTATTGTAGAGAGCATTATGACCTAGAAAAAGTTGATTTCTAGAATATTAATACAACCTAGTTAGTTGTCCTCAACCTGTACTTGTCAGAGGTTAAGGCAGTAGCTACAGTTAAAGATATCTAAATAGACAATATCATAGTAAAACTAATTTATTATTCATAAATAGGCAAAAAAAATTTCTTTCTATATGTTGCTTTCCTCAGACGAACCTACTTCATCCTTATTGTATCTCATTTTTGGGTAAATTTTGTTTTTCGAAATTCTCCTAGCTACTCTGATCTAACCTTAAAAAAGTTACCTCTCACATGGACAATATTAATAAAAGCCTGAATAAAGCATGAGTTAATGATAATCATGCTTTTGAAGATATTTAGAGGTACATTATAATTGGAGTAAAATTTCATGTACATTCTTATGTCAAGATCAGATAAATGAATTAAAACAATCATGTACTTCAATAAATACAGCACTGTATATGTCCATTCTATTAATGTCACTATTATAATCACTAAAGATAATAATGAAAGGAAGACCAAGCAGTCACCTATTCCATTTACTCATCTGCTGACTAGATTTATCTAAAATAAACAGCATATCAAAAGATAAATTTCAGTAAGAGCAAGATTGTCTTAATAAAGATTTTTATAAACTTCAAATTACCACATACAGCCTTTCCCATTAAATATCCAATGTTTGACAAAAATAATTTTATTAATGATCAGACCTAATTTGACATTTACTAGTGGTATGGTCATTCATTACATTAAGAACTGCAATTTCAGTGGTTTTGTAAATAGGATTATGTTTCCTTAAAAACTCTGATAAAAACTACATACAGATGAAATTTAAAAACCTGTAATAGATATTAATAACTTATTTAATATTTTTATTCATTAGTAAGTGGTGGTCTAATGTTAAATCCAGAAATAATCTTTACTTTTGAGGTACAAAATCCCGTGTCTCATGAGTGAAAAATTAATCAAATCATTCAAATCAAAATACTTATTCACCATTAATAGTAAATTATTACTATTAGTTAATACCTACAGTGAATTAAATAGCAAACTATTAGCATACAGGTATTTTGTAAGTTTTACCTTTGGTTTCTTTCCAAAGAGCCACAATTTGCCCTTGGCCTTTCCAACTGTGGTTTTGGCATCCATTTTCCCGCTCTCCTGTTTGGACGCACTGATTGTCCCGTCAGAAATGGTTCTGTAAATATGCTGACTGTAATCTTCAAATGGAAAGTCTCCTGGAGGTTCAAATCCAGATTTGAAGGAATCTACTACCATTTGAGAGTCCTGTACACAAGAAACATACTTTTAAACCATTTAATTTGCTCATAATGCCAAACAGGTTTTCAAACGGAATAATTCTAATCATTAGAGGTTTAAAGTAAACAATGTATTCCTGTGGAATTATAACCCTGAAATATTTTAATTCCAACAGAAAAACACTAATTTACAAACAAGTTTCCACTTTATTAATTTATAATACTCACTAATATTTTCACTGCTTTAATTTACTGAAATTAATCAAGGACTAGTTAACCGACAAGAACAATCTAAAAAACACCAAGAGGTTATTTATTCTCAAGTAGAATTTCTAAGAAGTTTTAAAGAAAGGCTTACTTTACTTTTCTAAAAATGAGGATCACCTTTGAAAGAGAGAAAAGGTCATCTAATCATAAAAGAGACAAATAGTCTTCCTTTCATCCAACAGGCGAAAATATAAATTAAGTATACTAATGATATTTAATTAGGATTGTCAACAGAGAAATGGAAAAATATCTCAAAAACAGTAGTAGGTACAAAAAGCAACTTTGCAAATATAGAATTCAGTATTATTCACCTAAAACTTAAAAACTTCAAGCTCATGTAAGTATTATATATTGTTCTTGGACATGCATACCTCTATCTGAATGCTTTACATCTGCCAACTCCTTCTTACCCCCTAAGTGCCTCCTCCTCTTTTATTCCCTGTTTATAGCACATTTTGCCTGCCATTTACTCAAAAGTCATTCTTAAGTCATGCCATACATTCATCACTAAATGCCACCCTCAGCACTCCTTTGCTAAAAGCTAAGTATGATTATGTTTATAATCTTGGGAGTCAGCTATACCAAAATATAAATGCATCTCTGAACTCATAAGTTAAGAGGCCTGATACTCTTTTCTTTCTTTAAATTTACGTCAGATTTTTATTTGTTACAGGAAAGATCCTCGCTGATGTAATATCAACTTCCTGTAAAGACTGAAATAGTGCACATATTTTGTACTCCTCCCCAAATTCTGGTTCTCTTCTCATGCTCTTCATATTCATAGCCCCAGTTTTTGCCAAGTTTCCTTTTTGGCTAATCACAATTTCTGAAAAATAATTTGGTAACAAGATTCTGCTAGACCTTAACCAAAAATATAGTATGATTAGATACATATCCTTAAAGGGAGCAGGACTACATGGTTTTTTCTACTCATAACACTATCACTCATTAAGTTTCCCATAAGTCATCATTCCATACACTGGACATTCCATACATTGGCCATACTTTGAATTCAGCTCAAGTGCCAAGTATCTATGCAACTCTAGATCTGTCTGACCATTTATTCTCTAAACCTTTACTAGACTAATAGTATATACAGTTTGTAACATATAGTTCGACAGGTTATACTTTTGGAGTATAACTACAAAACAAGTGGAGGCAAAAAGGGAAGGGAAAACATCTCTTAAACAACTAGAAGTGTGGCATTTAGAACAACCCTTAGAGGCCATAAAACTCCATTCTATTGTCAGACTACCTTCTACAGAATCAACTAACAATCCATCAACTACTTCACCCCTTTCACACCTCATTTCATTATCTAATGTATCTAAAACAAAATGAAACATTCATTCAAATGTGATTATATAACACTTACTCTTCTTTCATCAACTGATTTTGCTGCAAGAATCATTCCTTCCAAACATTTTGAAATGATAGGAATAACTTTACGTTCTGAGTCTGCAAATCCTCTGTAACATTCACTGAGTTTAATAGTTCTTCGTTCATCCATTTCTTGTAGTTGCTAATAATCAGAAATTTTTTTAAAGGTAAAGCTGAATTTCTTTTCATTCTGAAACAATCCCCTCCCAAAAAAAGCAATTAAAGATTCTAATAGTTATGCTGCTGTTGATACCTTTTAATAAGAGCTATAGACATATAATACTTTAAATTTAAACTTGTGAAGTAGAAGACAAAAAAAAACTCAAGGTTTTTAGAAACCCCAAAATTGGTGACACTGGTTTTCAAACCTTTGAAAGGGACTCCCTAGAGGCTACCAGCTCTCTGCCTATATATATCCACTTCATCTTTCAATTTTTAATAAAAGTTATTTATGCATCCAGGAAAATTTTCATTTGAAAACAGATTTTTAAAATACTTTTTCTTTTAAAGCAAGCAGCCTAAAAATACATATAATTCTGAGACTTCTAAGCTATTGAATTAGTTTAAATTATTTGGGTGAGATCTGGCCAGACCAAAGATCCGTAGTTGACTGTATACCACCAGTCTTGACCTACCAAGGTCAACAGGTCAGAGCGATACAAAGGAACAAAGAATAGCCACAAGATAAAAGTGATATATAAATAGAATCCCCCACAATTTAAAATCTGAGTGGCACATGCACCTAAAAAGTATGCTCTGCTAAGACACAGCAGAAATAACCTTAGAGGTACTGCTGATACTATCTGCCAACACTGACCTTTCTTCTAGGAAGCAACTACAGTGCTCAAATAGTCCTCAAATTCATATCCTCCATATCATCTTTTCCTTTTTAATTACTTCCCAAGTTTGGGAGTTCTAGATTTGCATTTTCTAAAATAGAATTGAAAGCCCAGAAATAAAACTACATATAGACAAAGGAGCAAGGAATATACACTGGAACTAGGACAGTCTCTTCAGCAAGTGGTGCTGGCAAAATTGGACTGCCACATACAAAAGAATGAAATGAAACTACTAAGTCACTAGAAATGGATCTGCCATATGACCCAGCAATTCCAATCCTAGGAATCTACCCAAAGAACACAAAAACACTAATATGAAAGCTGCACTTCTACATTTATTGTAGTACTACTTATACATGCCAAGATACTGAAAAACCCTAAATACCCCTGAACAGATGAATGGATCAAGATGTAGTATAGAGACACAATGAAATACAACTCAGTAATCCAAAAAATATAAATTCATGCCATTTTGGCAACATGAATGGAGCTGAAAGAGTTAATGCTAAGCAAATTAAGTCAGCAGGAAAAAGGTTAAGTATTAAATGGTTCACTGTTATGTGGAATATCCAGAAACCAAACAAAGGGTCAAACACAAACCTTCAAAGCTGACCACAGATATGAGGAATCCATGGAGGGAGGGTGAGAATATGGGAAGGAGTGAAAACACAGTGTGAAGTGCACAAGAGAATATGGTGATGCACTATGGAGGTTTTGGATGGTGGGAGAAATACAGTGAAAATTCCTAAAGGGAGAAATGACATGTTGTGCAAAAATTTAAAAAAATAAAATAAAATAAAATAAATTGCATGGCATTTTCTGAAAAGAATTGTCTGCAGAATGGCAAGATTGCTCCAAAACAAACTCCACACAAAAGGATTAAATCCCAGAACACAAAAAAACAGTTGATCTCAATGTTAAGGTCTCCCCAGAATACAGAGCCTTTTAACTTCTAAACCCAGAAAAGCAGCACAGAATGAGGACTGGCAGGCCTGGAGGTCTGGATTAAATAATCAGAATTTGATACCCTAGTCTACCATTCTCACTATGCTTCCTTTGTGCTTCTAACTTGCCTTACAAGGAAATAAAATAATATATTTGGGTTAAACCTTTTCCCACGTAGGTTCTGTTCTTCCAGATATTACTGCTTTCAACAAAATCGTTCTCTTATGTCTTCTTTATAGAATAGCCAGTAACAAATTAATCTTCATGTAAATTATGTGTCTTTACCTGAGGCTATCTGACAACTGTTATCATCAAGTAATGCTGGATGGTATTTATAGGTAAACTCAATTATATATATATGACCTATCTGGCAGTAACAAAAACAAGCAGGTTAAACTGTGGTAGCAGTTTATTTGACATGTGAACAAATGTCAATGATTCTGGTATAGTATTAAAAAGCTATATTCCAATGCTAGCAGACCAGATTATAATACACAATACCAGGGAATTCAACCTATGACATAATAATGACTCAGTGTTACTATTCTATTCATAAAATGTCCCTGTTAGTGGACTATTCATTCTGCTAGTAACAAAGCTGCAGAAAATTTGAGATTTCCAATGTTAGGAAAATTTACCTCAAATCTATAACAAAGAAGTCTCATGTAATTCTAGAAACATTCTGATCGATACCTGAAATTTAAAAGTTTTACATCTAAAGATTAGTTTTTCCAATTCTAAATTTTACCTTGTAAATCTGAGGAATCACCACATAGAAATGTTTGTGCTGTTCTCCATTGAAGTTTTGTAATTGCGCAGCATATTCATTTTTATTTTCATCAGCCATATGTGTACGCAGATTCAACTGTTGTTTAGCCTAGAGGTAAGTTGAGTCGTTTAGCCTAGGGGTCTATATCAGTATCAAGAAAACCCAGTATCATAACTAATTTACTTTTTTAAAAAAACTAATTTTCTTTCTAACTACTGATATCATTTAAAATTTAAGAAGTTTGCAAATCTTATGGCCACCTATTATAATTATTACAATATTCCTTCTCTCTTATTGTAAGTCTTCCCCTTATAGTAATTCATTCAAATAAAGTTTCTTACTAAGTCCAGATTCTTAAGAAGTAAATGACATTTATTGCTTAAAATAGTTAAGCTTTTAATCAGAAGAGAATAACAGCATAAGGAATATTTTAGACAATTAAAAAAGACAGTAAAACATTTCTTAAAATATGATACTTATATCCAATTCAGAACTATAGTGAAGCCAAATGATTTAAAATGTGTTTTTAGATCGGTAATATCAAACATGTTTGACAGAAAATTGTATGTGTTCATAAAGAGTTAATATTAATCAGCAAAGAAATTTCCCATGTATAAAACAGTGCTCCTTACACTGGGTATAGCCCACATTTTCTTTATAGCAAGATGCTATGAAAAAACTACAGTGGATGATCAAAATCAGGATCCAAAAATCTTAAAAGCAGGATTAAATATAGTAATTGATAGAGATATACATAAGCACTTAAAAAACCAAGGTAGGCCCTCCCTGGTGGCGCAGCGGGTTAAAGCACAGTACTGAGAATCTGAAGCCACTTCCGCATGAGTTCGATTCCCGCCTGCAGCCTGCCCCGGAGGAGACCACATGGCGAGCCAGACCTCTCCTGACCCGCCCGCTGCTCCCCTCAGCAGTGTACTTCGTCGATCTGCCTGTTCTGCTCCCCACTCTGTCTCTGGTGAAGCCTCTCACCGCCCCTGAGCCTCTGGCCTGTACCCCAGTTCTGTATGCACAAATAAATAAATAAATCTTTAAAAAAAAAAAAAAAAAAAAAAAACCAAGGTATAAGTTCTGTCTGAGACAAATGTTTTCATCCCCATACCGTATGTGAAAAGACAGTGATTTCAATTAACCATAAATTAATTAAATGGAAGTCAGTACAAACAATGTGGTTACCCCTGAAGTCAATATAAATTTAGACTAATTAACACAAATTGGTATTCAAAACAAAGGAGGTTATCAAACGGGTCTGATCAAACCATACCTGCAATATTATATCCAATTTGAGGTAATATACTTTAAATGTGATATTGGTGAATTAAAGGCTATCCAAAGCAAAGCAGTCACATGAAACTTAAAACTATTTCATGTAAGGAATAAAGAAACATTAATATTTAATTTTAGGGTAGAAAATTTGCTACCACTATTTTAAAAGTCATTATAAGAAAAAATAGATTTCGTGTTTTTGTATGGTATATCAAAAAACTAAAGGGAAGCAGGGTGACAAAAGGGGTAACACAAAGAACTACTGAAGTTGGGGGAGAGATAAACAGGCTACATGAAGACTGAAATTTGATGACCTAATATTAAGAGGTAAAACAAGTCTTTAAAAATGGGATAAACAGGACCTCCCTTGTGGCACAAAGGGTTAAGTCTCAGTACTATGAAGCTATCTGCAGCCACTGAAGCCACTGATCCCAGGCCATGGGCCTGACCCACGTGGCACAACAGACCTCTCTGGTACGTGAACATGTGCGTGTGCCCACCTCTGGCTATACCCCAGCACTTGTATACATAAACAAAAAATCTCTACCAAAAAATACGGTAAACAGATATAAGCATCACAACTTATACCAAAAAATCTTATGGTGTTGTAATCTGATATTTATGAGATTTGAGGATTTTATTTTTAATTTGTAAGAAAAGGAAGTTAGAAAATAAATTATCCTTCTCTGTTTTTTTCTTGTTCTAATTATTTAGGAGATTACAAAATTCTGAGGAGGAAAATAATGGTAGGTCTTTATATACACTAAAAATGTGGAGTAATATTCATCTGTATTTCAAAATCACATTTCAATACTACTACTATGTCAAATGTTCTAAGAGAAAAAGATCATAGCTCCTGCTAAGCAGTATTATCAGGGCTGGTCCTAGCAGATCCCAGCATTAGTAATAAGTGATGGGAGGTCAGTTTCCAAAATGAATACCCAAACAGTTAATCACATGTTTCTGACACTTACATGGTATTTTCCCTTCTGTAAAGTTAGAGAAGGCACACAACCCAATCCCATCTGCCCATAGACTACAAGTTCATTCCCAATAGAAACTATTTCTTTCTTATGCATTCTAAATGCAGTTAACACATTAAAATAAGTTAACATGTACTAATTACTTTCCCAGACTAATGTACAATTTAAAGTAGGCAAATATTTGAATATTTTAGATTTAGATACAATGTATTTCTTGGGGAAACTAATACCAATCAAATATCAATACTATTCTTTATATACAACTCAAAATTTGGGGATCAAAATCAAGTTTGTCTATTTCTTACCTTTTCAACATCTGCTTTGGTTGCATTAGTATCATTATCTAATCTTTCATAACTCTGTTGTGCCTTTTCTGCCTCTCTACATTCTCTTTCAAATTTCTTTTTACTCTGTTAAGAAAATTAAAATATCACATTCAGAAATAAAATTATATCACATCTTAAAAAAACAACTAAAATTACAAACTAAGAGAAAAAAAACACTAATACTTATTATATATTTCCTTTCTTCCTAAGAAAAAAATCATACATTTTGTAACTTCTAAATAAATAAATAAACAAATAATTAAATAAGCTCATCTTCAGCACTGTATTTTTAAAGTGTAGCCTGGGGTATGGAAATGTCCCTCCAAAGCAGTTGTATGATGTTTCTTCCAGGTTTCCCAGAATAAAGACTTTAAATTTTTTATTCATCGCAAATAACTAGGTCTTTGTAAAAGCTATTCACAACTGAGTCACATGCCGTGTTTCCTCTCCTACATACTTTTCAGTCAATTCAAACACATTCAGACTCCAACCAATTTTATTTCTTGATTAAATTTCATCAGCTGAGAAGTATCTGCCCTGGTGAAATTTGTACTGGTTACTAACTAGATCTACTGCTTAGCTGCTACCTTGGGATTTCCCTTCATGATTATCCTGGAAATTCTTTTCACAGCTTCCTTGACTTGAATCTAATGCCTAGTGAATTCACAGCTTCCCCTTTTTTAATTCATTGCCTTATTTTGTTGGAACACACTGAGCAGTAACTTCCTCAAAAGTTTACAAGAGATAATTTTTTAAGTCTCCACAGCTAAAAATATTTTACACCATCATTTATTTTTAACTGCCCAATTAAAATTTTTTTTTATTTTTTATATATATATTTTTTACTTCATTGTTCATTTTTGTACAATGTTTCTCTTCTCAGGAGTAGTCCTCATAGAATTCCCACCACCAGTTCACCGATGCACCATCACCACAGTCTCCTATGCTCTTCTCTCCCTGGTTTTGATCCCTCTCCCTCCCCCTACACCATTATTTTTAACTGAAAAACTTTGGCTGTAAGACTCTGAGTGGGAAATTGTCTTCCTTCAGATATATAAAAGTACTGTCTACTTTATGTCCACTAGAATATATTATTTTCTAATCCCATTCTAATTCCGGATCCTTTGCATAAAGTATGTTTGCTTTCAGTTTTGTTTTTCCTCTCTAGAGGCTGAAGGCTCTTTCTCCTACCGGCTGAAATTTCATATAGATGTCTTGCTCTGGGTCCACTTTGCTGGGCACAGGAAAAATCCTCTCCACCTAGAAACTATTTCTATTCGGAGGAAAGTTTCTTGAATTATTTTTCCGTCCATTTCTTACGTTTTCTCTTTGAGGGGGTGCTTATTTTGAAAATAAGCAAGTACAATGAGTCCTCTAAATTTCTTTTCATTCATATTTTCAACTATTATTTAACTCTACTTTGAGAGATTTCTTCAGTTTCATTCTTTCTACCAAGTTTTTTATTTCTGCTTCCATCAAGTTCCTTTGAAAGGAAACTATAGTTCCAATTTCCTTCCACGATCATTATTCCATCAAACTTGCTTTCTTTGCTGCTTACTAGTTGTTACCTATATTCTGAGAATCCCTTGGAAAAGAATGTCAACATTTTCTGTTTACCTAACTCCCTCATTAGAACCAGTTAAAATACCAATTTTTTGTCTTGGTTGGGATTACAAAACTACAAAGATATTGAAAAGGTAGATTCCAAATCTCAAACAACAAGACCAAAAAATTTAAATTTCTCACAGGATCTCCCTTCCTTTGACCTTCAAACAGAGACAATTTCTTTAATATTTTCCCTTGGTCAATGAGCAGAGTTCTTAGAGACTACCTTTCACTAAAGGTTTAGTTCTCCAAAGGTTCCAACCTTCCACAACATCTGGAGCTAAAATCTAATCTCTTTTCTGATGTGATTAAAACTTAAGTCCTAAGTAAGATACTCTGAACCTCTGTCCCCATTTTTTCATATACCTACTTATCTAGCTTTTTGTTTATTTTTACAAAGTTAGCAGGTACCTCTGCTAAAAGCTTAAAATACAACACAAGTATTTTAGTAATTCTATCTAGGTTAACCAAAAGTTTTGTAAATTAGTTTAGCTTGCCATGGAGGCAGAACCAGATATACCAATGATTTACAGCAAATAAATGTGCTTGGAAATGAAACTCTTTAAATGTACTTGTATTTTGCTTAGTATGAGACATCAAATGAGAATACTGACATTAATAAGCACATAAATATAGCTGTGTAACATGAAAAATGTCACTTTCCTATAAAGACTGAGATTAAACATCCACATTTAATTCTGAAACTCAGTTCAGAGCCTTGTTTTCAAACTGAGCAACTACAGGTTACTAGTTTTGGTGCAAACTGAAGCTACTTAGATGAAGTACTTTTATGTTAGATGTTTTATTATGTGGGGGTGGAAACCTAATAATTTCCTTGCAATAGCAAAAGAACCACTAGTATAATAATATAAAAAGCACTCCTTCCATGAAATATCCTCCATTGTTATACAAACAGAGAAATATACTTCGGAATAACCTCGTTTTGCATCCTTCTGTATGGCAATAGTCAAAAGAACTTCTATTCCATTCTTTCTCAGAAAAGCCCATTTCCTGGTATAGATTGAAAATAGCTGATATTTGCCTTAGTAGTCTCCCCAGATCTGGGACATAGTCAAATAATCTAATCTTGTAAAAGAAATCCATGAGGGGAATCTACTAGAAGTTTTCTAGGTAAATTTTCCTTCCCTGGTTAAAAAAAGGGGTTGGGGGGGGGGGCGGTGGGAAGCAACTGGATTAGAAATGTTTGTTCCCTTTTCCTGCTTCTCAATGCAACTGAGTAACAGTGGTGGTTGGCTGCTTAAGTAACTTAACCATAAACAAAAAAGCCAACATGGTCAAAATGGTAAAACAAGTGACAGAAAGGAGAGGTCCACCTAGGTGACAGCAATGAGCTACTGACAAACTCTCAAGAACTGCTGAATTTACAAGCCTAGTGCTCATAAATTCCTATGCTCTTACTTAGAACTTACAGACTTGGCATCTAAGATGCTTCTATCTTCTTAAACTCTTATTTCTTCAAGCTCTCTTCACAGGCTCTCTTTAGCCCTTATCTTAAATGTTAATGCTGCCTATTTCATTAAACCTGAAACTAAAAATTGTCTTATAAAAGGCTTTTTCTCCGTTTTTAATATTTGTCACTAATTTAACTTGTCTCTCCCAGTTCTTTAAATACCCTCTCAATTACTTCAAACATGTCCAATTCCACAAGTCCTTTTTTTTTTAAATCAAACAGGACTATGTGGAACTAGGAAACAAGATCCTGCATATATGTGTATTACATAAAAATCGTATGTTTGTATCCCTCCCTAGACTGCAGGTTCCACAAAAAACAGAACTACATCATATTCTACTCTTGTACCTACTAGACACAGTATATGTTTAGAATGCCTTTAAGCATCATGAGTTGAACTGAGCTCATCTTTATTTCATGGTATTAACTGTCTTAAAGAAATCTCTGCTGCATTTCTTTTCTGATGTTTCTTTCTTATGACCCAAAATTTTTGTTTAAAAACTGTCAACTGTTCTACAGGCAAGTCAGCACGTGTTATCAGGAATGCTATGTGCCAACTTTCATTTTGGCGATTTTTAAAAGGACCAGTGATTCATGAGTGTAGGAGTCTGTTTTTTGCAAATGAAAACATATACATATATACATACACTCATTAGGAAACACAAAGTAAGATGCTAGCTAAGGGAATTTAAAACTTATTAAGTAAATACTCCCTTGAAAGTCTTACTGAAACCAATTAGAAAGAAAAGGCATAAACAAAAACAGACTATTAATATTCCCAAGAATTCTAAATCAGCGTTGGTGATTAAAATCTGACATCAGAGCCCTCCCTGGTGGTGCAGCAGGTTAAAAGCACAGCAATAAGAAGCTAAAGCCACTTCCGCATGAGTTAAATCCCCGCCTGCGCCTGAGGTGATCAACACGGGGTGGCAGACCTCTCCTGACCCCACATGCTAATCCCCTCAGGTCAATCTGCCTGTTCTGCTCCTCACTCTGTTTCTGGTGAATCCTCTCACCCACCATACCTTTGGCTTGTACCCCAGTTTTGTAAGCATAACTATTTTTTTTTTAAATATAATTTCCCATACAAAAATATGCAAGCACTAACCTCAGAGTTCAGAATGATTATTAACTTTATACTGCTGAACATTATTTGATAGAACATTTTACATAAAGGAGATGACAATGTTCCATGTAGGTCTCCTATTTTTCAAATCACTATATTGCTGAACACTACAAACCTTAGTATCAAGTATTCTTGGACAGTTTTTTAGTAAATAACTATTATACTTTAATAATTTTGCCCCACAAAACATTTTATGTCCTACAATGGGACAGTCTCAGATGAACAGCTCAGTAACAGAAATATTCAACATTATTACAGAATCGCTTAACTAGAAGAAACATTTCTAGTCCACTCTTCATATGCTAAAAATTAAGTCAATAGTAATAGAGTGCTAAAGAGAGACAGAATTAGAATAGAGGTTTTCTTGGGCTCAATCAAATGGTCTCCTAAGATATAGCCACTGTTTTCCTATTATTTCTACCCTTTATCAATATTTTATAGTAACTGCTGAAAAGTCAGAAAGAATCTTTCCAAATGTTTATACAGTTATCTGAAGATTACAAAGTTAGTACAGATAAAGAACTACACAGAGGAGATGGAGGTGTGATAAACACTCAAATTTTCTATTCACATCAATGTCAAATTACAATCCACTGATATCCAACACTGAATTCAAACAGATGTGAAGTAAAAGAGAACTTAGGGTTAAACTAGCTTGCAAAATTTTATGTTAACCATGAAACCATTATAACTCACATTATCCATCTGCTTCCAGCACATGTCAAGGTATTGTTGAGCTTTTCGTCCCTCTTGAAGATGCTAAAGATTAACAAACCCCCCCCAAAAAAAATTACGTTTAAATACTGAGTTTGACGTTCCAAGAAAACTTTTCACTTAATTTTTTTTCAAGGTACTAATTAATTATATAATCATGTCAACACTTAGGAAGAAATTAATAGTAGTAAAGCAAAACCCTCTAAAACGTTCTCTACAGGGTATTATTTGAGTAACTGAAATATAACCTTTAAAACAGATATAAGCTCTAGATAAATACTATCTTGAATTGGGGTTAAGAATATTTTCTATAAAGGTTCGGATAAGTATTTTAAGCTTTGGAAGCTGCATATCTCTGTTACAAATACTCAACTCTACGAATGTAATACAAAAGCAACTACAGGCAATACTTAAGTGAATGAGTATCAGTATGCTCCAGTAATACTTAAAATAGTCACCAAAATTTGAACTTGATATAATTTTCTCTTGTCATGAAATACTATTTTTCTTTTGATTTTTCTCTTCAACCATCTAAAAGTGTAAAAACTGGTCTCAACTTGCGGGAACTAGGAAACAAAAAAAGGCTAGAATTGGCCCATAGGCTGCAGAATCTGCCAAATCTTGATTTTAAACTCAAGAGGATCACAAAGTAGCTAGGGTATCTTAATATAATTTTTAGAAAGAAGAAAATGCAATACAAAAATCGGTCTATACTGAAAACACGTTATTTTAAAAGCAAGTAAATACTCTGTAAAAATTTCACATTCTAGCTAAAAATTATTTCACATTCTAGATAAAAATGATAAGGATTACCATTTTTCTTTCAGTTTTCAGATCATGAGCATATCTCATTAATTCACCGTAAACTCTGTGTGCCATTTCTTCTGCCACTACCTCGCGCTGGCCCGCATAGTCATTTAACTCATTAAGGATGTTAAAAAAGGCTATACACGAGGTAAACCTGACAAAAACATTAAGAAAAAAAAAAAATGATGATTTGATTTCATTGTTACTACAATCCAATCTTTTAAATACAGTATAGCTTGTACCTAACACTCAACAAATTTTAATATATTTAACCTAAATTTCAGCTTCTAGTTCTAAATTAACTCAATTTGCACATAGCTGTGTGTATCTTCAAGTAGTCTTTATAAATAAAGAAATATTTGGAATCAAAAAATAAATACTGGAAATCTTTTAAATTGCCAACAGAATGGCCTGAGCTTGGGAATGAACTTGATTGGATTCCTAGGCTCCACAGCTGCCAATCATGCCATTCAAATGCACCTCAATGGCTGATCTACAAAACAACTCTGCTATCAGTTCTGGATACAGCTGCCTGTGTACCTACCCACATCCTGAATGGACATGAAGTGTGCCATTAGGGTCAACACCAAAGTGGGGAAAGAAAGGACAAAAATAAGGGTAAAAAATTTGTGTGGAGAGGAGGGAAACAGAGAATCCCTATATTGAAATGTACAGATCTACTTTAAATATACTGCCAGAACACTCTTTAATAGCAAAAGGCAAAGAGCTCACTTATGGCTCTATTAACACTAAACCTGAGAATCCTAACAACTGACAATTAACAAAAAATTTCTTAATGTTTAGTTTCTTTTTGTTTCTGTAGTTTACAGCCAGCCATATATCTGTTTAGAACTACCCAAAAGCAGGCCCTCCCTGGTGGCACAATGTGTTAAAGCACAACACTGCAAAGCTATTGGCAGCCACTTCCGCACTGGTTTGATCCCCAGCCAGGGAGGTGACCACATGGCGTGGCAGACCTCTCCTGGCCTGCCCGCTGCTCCCCTCAGCAGTGTACTTCGTCAATCTGCCTGTTCTGCTCCCCACTCTGTCTCTGGTGAATCCACTCACCGCCCCAACACCTCTGGCCTGTACCCCAATTCAGTATACATAAATAAAAATAAATCTTTTAAAATAAAACTACCCAAAAAGCTCATAGCCAATTTCTCATCTTTTATATGGGGTTCCAAGTTACCCTGATAACCTCATTCCTTTCCTTATCCTTTCAAACCAACCAAACTTCTTTCACTATGTGAGAATAAAAGCAAGAATCTAACAAGCCGACAACTATAAAATAAATAGGAAAAAAACACCTTTTTCTTTGGGAGACTACATCACTAAAGTAGAGTCTTAATCTACATCTTATTTGGAAACCCTTATTTCAGCTATTTTAGACTAGCTGATGTGCTATTGATCAAGTCCTCTGAAGTAGTTGTCCTAATGGTAATTTCCTATTTCAAAAGAAACGTTAATTATAACAAATTTGACATGGTTATAAAAATCTAACTATATTTATTTTACTAAATAACAAAAATCTAGGTATTAAAAAAACTTTTAATGTAAGTAATAAACAGGCATATAACTTACCGTGGTTCTTCATCTTTGGCGGAACGTTTGGGACAATACTTCTTAACCAGATTTCTATGGAAAGATATTTTTAAAATACTGTTATTAAATGAAATATGCAAAGTTTTCTATTTCATTAACCAAGAATCTAATTATATGAAACAAAACCACTGCTATTAACATGATAATATATGATCATTACTTTTTTTTCCTTAAGATACTGATAACTAGAGTAAAAGTGATTTAAGTTTATGTAAATTTTCCAACAATTTGATTATGCTATCAAAAAAGAAGAGCAGTAAGAGGAAGATGAAAAGAAATACAGTGAAAATAAGTCAAGGTCTTTCAAAGAAATACCTTCAGTATTTTGTTTTACAAGTCAAAGATTTGAATACTAGGCAAAATACAATCTATAAAACAGAATTAACATCATAAAAACAGAATTTGTTAATATACATATAGAAGTACTCAGGAGAGTGCTGATACATTAAATGCTATGTGAGTGTTAATATAAAAAAAGTGCTTGTTCTATGTCAGGCACTGTTCTAGAAATTAGGAATAAGCAGTTTACATTTTAGTAGGGAGAATGTAGTTTACATTTTAGTAGGGAGAATATATTCTAGAATTAAGAGTCAAATCACTTAGCCAATAAATCATCTGTACCCAGCAAGATTCAGTAACTACTGAGAACTAACAAGAATGAACAAGTGTCCATAGGATTCAATTCTGTGAAGTTAATCTAAACTTCAAAATAAGGAGGACTGTTCCTTCTGCCTGTATCCAGATGACATTATTGTCACAGAAGTATTTGTTTTGTTTTGTTTTGTTTTTGGGGGGGGGGGGTTGCTACTCACTGCTCAAAAGCCAAACTTATGAAGAAAACCAGGTTTAATCAGGTACCAACAAACTTGATGACATGGAGGACTACACAAAAGTCATATTCCCAAATGAGAAGCAGGGACTTAGATAAGGGAGTATGAAGGAGGAGGAGAGGCTAAAGGGACTGCAGCAGATTTCAGAAAATAGGCAGGATTTTCCAAGAACTGCATTCAATGATGCCCCTTTTTCTTCCACACTTGGTTTTGGCTGGATCTGTCCAGGCAATGGTAGGGTTATTTTTACTATGATAGTAAGGTATGGCTTAATCCTTGTTTTACTTTAATTCCATCTTGGTTTCAGTTAGTTTTGCCCGGTTTTCTGGTTTTGTCTGCAAGAAAAGATAAAGAGGAGTAGGGCCAAGGACAAGGAATTATGGTTACCATACCAGTGGTGGTAACATTAGAATTTACTACAGTAAGTAATCAAAATTTCAGAGAAAGCCAAAGCAGCAAAGGTTAAACAAGGTTTGACCAAAGAATAAATAATCTCCACTTTCAGAAAGTCAGTACAAACATGAGCCTCCTGGGTTCTTCTGAGACTGAACAGTAACATAGAAACAAAATTCTTAAGAAAGAGACATAAGGCACTGAAGACTGAGGAGAAAAGAGATTGGTTTTATTTGGATTATTTTACACTTAAACCTGTCCTATGTATTAGGACAGCTCTTAGTTGAACAACCTCATCATATGATGAATATGACACAGAAAGTAGTATGGACAGAAGGCAGTATTTAGTCAAAGTTTAGCTCATGATCAGAGATCTAATTTCTAAACTAAAACCAAAACACAAATTATTTATTTATTCACTTGACATTCACTCTCTATGGGCACCAGCTATGACACAATGCTTGGCACAGGTACAGAAATGAATGTCAGACAGTCTTTGATCAAAAGGAATTTGGAGAGAGTTTTGCTCTGGTTAAGAGTAGCATACAGACTTCCTGTTGTCCAATCAACTTCTCTTACAGTTTACCACACTACCATATTTTTATAAAGAAAGGAATAGTCTAGGATAGAAAGAGAGGGGTATAATACATTTTACACAACCATCTCTATGACAGAATTTAACTGTTGTTATTTTTATTTTAAAAAATAATTATCCGGGCCCTCCCTGGTGGCGCAGCGGGTTGGAGCACAACACTGAGAATCTAAAGCTGCTTCCGCATGAGTTCGATTCCCGCCTGCCCTGGAGGTGACCACATGGCGTGGCAGACCTCTCCTGACCCGCCCACTGCTCCCCTCAGCAGTGTACTTCGTCGATCTGCCTGTTCTGCTCCCCACTCTGTCTCTGGTGAAGCCTTTCACCGCCCCTGAGCCTCTAGCCTGTATCCCAGTTCTGTATACACAAATAAATAAATCTTTTAAAAAAAAAAAATAATAATTATCCATCATGTATATAAACTGTTTTACTTTGAAATTTTAATCTCTGCCATAAACGTAACAATAAAAATTAACTAAAAACCACTGACTTCAGTTTATGTCTGCAAACAAAAAACATCATACTAAGTTACGAAGCTACCACTTAACATCAGAATGGACATGATTTAAACTGTCAATAATTATATACTCAAAAAAGATTAGGTGCTTTAATTTCTGTTTATTCTCAGCCTAATACAAATACCAATACCAAAAATTAAAATTAAACCAAAGTCATCAAAATAGATGAACAAGAGTATCAATGATGGAGAAAGTCTAATCCTGCAATATATTCACGAGGTCAATGTTTAACATTCTAAATTATGGTTAATAAGGGGGGAGGAGCTGATGCCTTATGAAAGATAACTGTCCTCTGCAGTAGCAAAAACAGAAGGGAGTTAACCGTAAGAATTTTTCCCATTAAAGAAAAACCAACATGGCAAACATTTTCCCTCTGGACAAGAGAGATATTATAAAGAAAATCTAATAATTCAATCATTTATGAAGATTCTTTCAAGACAGTAAATCCCAATGTAGAGAATATTTTTTTTTTTAAGATTTATTTGTGCATACAGAACTGGGGTGCAGGCCAGAGGTAAGAGGGTTCACCAGACACAGAGTGGGGAGCAGAACAGGCCAACTGATGAAGTACACTGCTGAGGGGAGCAGTGGGCGAGTCAGGAGAAGTCTGCAGCACCATGTGGGTCACCTCCAGGGCGGGGATCGAACTCATGCTGAAGTAGCTTTAGCTTCTTAGTGTTGTGCTTTAACCCACTGCGCCACAAGGGAGGGCCTTAAGAGAGTATTTTTTAAGTTCTACATACCACCTTTCCAACTCTTTTTTACTAGAATTTCAATACTTTATAATAATTCCGCCTTGGTTGAAAATCACTACAACTGAAAATCATTATTAGGATGGAAATGTTTCAATTTTTTTAGTGCATTGGGACTGAATAAAGATGCAGATCGCTGATCTACAGCATCTATACCCAATAAAACCTATTTGCTAAATGAAAATTATACCCTTTCTTCAATGAAGGAATGTTCTAATTTCTTTTTGTAAGTAAGCGAAAAGTGTAATAATTATTATAAATCACGAACAACAGAAAAGCTAACAAATCTGTTCTTTGATTAGAGTCCTACTACTCTAGAACTATTTTGGTCACCCTGAAACCTTTGAGGACCAAGCTTTTCTGATAGTTAAATATTCTAGATAGCAAAAGTTTTAGCTCATGAATTACCAATCTGTATATTATAATTTGCAATAGGTTTATCTTTAGAAGTGTACCACCTTCCTTGCTTAGGAATAAGTGTTTTTAAACATAATCATTGAAAAGGCTTCAGCAATTCAAAAGTGTAAGTAAAAAATGTTTGTCTCCGCCCTTTCCATCTCCTTATTTGCATTCCCATGGACAAACACTAACACAATTTAGAAGGGTATATCTCTTCAGAATATGTATGAATTATATACTTAACTATATACACAAACTCAAATAACCAATAAGTTCTTGCTGTACATTTAGTTCTGCAGCCTGTTTTTTACACTTACTGAAAAGTGGTATAAAGGTTTAAATAGGCTAGTACACCTGATTTATGTAAAATGTATATACCTCAATGTTTTCCTTATTCTCTTACTGATATTAACATCTTTTCTTCTCTTTTTCTTTTCTTTTTTTTTTTTTTTTTAAAGATTTATTTATTTATTTATACAGAACTGGGGTA